ACGAAGGCGGCGGCTATGGTAATTTGAAGTTTAGCCTTGATGTATATAACATGTATACTTGGTCTTAAGTCCATTGTACTAAAATTAAACATGCATGCCAGATGTTTTCAGGTTGCGTTTTAGAAAACTTTAGTAGTATTTAATGAGTGAATACAGTTATCATACTCTATAAATGAGATGTTGGGTTTTCTTTAATAGGATTAGTAATTGGTTTGCATCAGCCTTTAAATGTAAAAAATAAAGTTGTTATTCAAATAAGGAAAAAAAATTGATGAACTAGCAATAACTAATAACTCAGATGAAATACACAAATACCTTGAAAAATTCAACACGGGATATAGAAAACCCCAGTAGCCATACGTCTATTAAAATTGAATTCATAATAAAAATATTTCAATGATGAAAACTCCATATCCACATAGTTTCACTGGTGAATTCCACCAAACATTTATAAAGAAATAATATAATCTCATACAAACTCTTTTGGAAAACAGAAGAGTTAGCAGTTCCCAATAATTCTATGAGGGCAGAATAACTCTCAAACCAAATTCTGACAAATACATTATAAGAAAAGAATATTACAGACCAATATACCTCATAAATACAGATGGAAAAATCCTTAACAAAATATTAACAAATCAATCCAAGTAACATATGAAAGAGAATAATACAACATGACTAAAACAGGGTTTATCTCAGGTTTATAAGGTTGGTTTAACATTAAAAAAAAAAAAACAATAATTTTAACTCATTGCATTAACAGAATAAAAACAGTATATGGTCATTTTAATAGATGCAAAAAAACACTGGAAACAATTTAACACACTAGGATATTCCAGTCCACTTTCAGAAGATTTTAGCTTAGCCTTTTAGCCTTTCAAAATGCACAGCTCTGGAATTCAATCAATGTCTTGTGGGAGATATCTGTGCATATCTGAGGCCCCTCACTTTGGAATTTGAGCTCCACAAGACTGTCAAAGGTTGTAGAGGTTTCTCTGTCTCCTAGTAGTGGTCCCTGTCTGGAATTTTAATCTAGTCCTTGTTGCTCTGGAGTGTCTTAGGAACAGAAGGGAATTTCCTCAACCTCACTAAAGGGCATTGATAAAAAAAACAAACAAAACAAAACAAAACACCCTACAGCTAATGGTACTTAATGGTGGAAGATTAAATACTTCTGCTCTAAAACTGGGAATAATGCAAGTCTACTTTCACTACTTCTACTGAACATGGTAGAAGTCAAGGTCATAGCCAGTGCAATAAGACAAGAAAAAGAAAATAGTTACAGTTTGGAAAGAAAGAGCCTATTTTTATTCATGAAAGTATGATTGTGTATATAAAAATATCCCAAGGAGTCTACAAAACGGCTACTAGAACCAATAAGTAAGCAAGTAAGGTTCACAGTAAGCAATGTTAATTTAAAAAATAAACTCTATTTCTTTAAACTTACAGAAAACATTTGGGAATTGATAGTAAAAACAATTCCATCAAAAATACAGAATTCTTAGGAATAAACTTAACAAAAGATGTGAGATCTTGACACTGAAAACTAGAAAACAGAGAAATTAAGAAGATTAAAGTGAAGAGATGTACCAAGGTTATAGATTAGAAGATTCAATATTAAGGTGTTCAATATCATCATACTGATTCTAGATTTCATACAATACCAATCAAAATCTCAAAATACTTTTTAAAATTGACAAGTTGAGTCCAAAAATTATATAGAAAAGCAAAGATCTAGAATAGCTAATACAATTTTTAAGAATAAAGTTGGGGGGCTCATACTATCTAGTTCAAGTCTTACTATAAAAGTACAGAAACTAAGACAGGTTAGCAATGCCAGACAGAGTAATAGAATAAAATAGAGTCTGAACATAGATCTACAGATATGTGGTCAATTGATGTTAGCCAAAGGTGCCAAAATTTTGATGAGGATATGGAGCATCAGGTAATTGTCACACATAGCTTGCAGGAATATAAATTGGTACAACCATTTTGGAAAAGTTTGGCAGTTTCTGATCAAGTTAAGCATACATCTTCCCTTAGTCCATCATCAAGCCCACTCCTAGATATTTATCCCAGAGAAAAGTTGGTTTGGGCTATTTTATTAGTTATTCCATATTTTCCTTCTATTAACTTGTTAAACATTCTTGAACTTTTATTGCTTAGTCTAGAGATTACACATATCCTGGACACATCACAGTCTAGAGATTACATGCATCCTGGTCATATCAAAGTATAAGTTTTATTTTTACTACATCCCAAATAATTTTAGAACTAGCTAATAAGTCCCATTTAGCCTCTTCTCATTTTCTCTATTTCTGTCATATATTTTGCTTTCATGTTATAAATCCCATAGGCATTTTTTTTTATTGATCTTTCAAAAGACAATATTCATTTATATTTCCCATGTATTTACTCTTTCTGGTGCCCTTCATTTTTCTCAGAAGTTCTATTTTTCTTACTGGATTGTTCTCCTTCAGCATGAAGAACTTCCTTTGGTATTTCTTATCATATAATAAATTCTCTCAACTTGCATTTATCTAAAAATATATTTATTTCATCTTCCTTTTGGAGAATATTTTTGATGGATAATGAATTCTAGGTTGGTAGTTTTATTTTTTTTACTAGCACTTGAAGATGTTGTTTTGTTGTCTTCTGGCATTTATAGTTTCTGTGGAAAATTCTCCTGTCAGTCTCTTTGTTGCTCTTTTAAAGGCAATGTAATTTATTTTCCTCCGGCTGTGTAAAGGCTTTCTCTTTATTTTCAATTTTCAGCAATTTCACTACAAGGTAGTCTAGGTATGGTTTCTTTTATGTTTACCCTGCTTGCAACTTGTTGAACTTCTCAAATCTCTGAATAGTTGTACATCCGTTTTGGAAAATTCTTGGACATTACCTTCTCAGAATTTCTTCTGCCCAATTTGCTCCTCTCTTTCTGTGGTTCCAATTGTGTTCCATGTATATCTTTTCTTTTTTCTATGTCTTTCAGTTTGGATACTGTCAGTTGTTCCATTTCCAATACATTAATCATATCTTCTGCTATATTCAATCGATTATGAACCTATCCACTGAGTTCTTAACTTCAGATATTAACTTTTCAATTCTAAGTATCTTTTCAACCCTTTTATAAACTCTAATTCTCCAGTGAAATTCTCAAAAATTTCCCATATTTTTGTATATCTTTTCCTCTTCTTGTACATATCAATCATGATTATTTTACAGTTATTATCTGTTAATCTCACCTGTGGGTCTACTTTCAGTAAATGTAAATATAGTGTTTTTTTAAAAAAAGTAAATACAGTTTTAAACATATATATTAATATAAATATCGTTGTAAGGGGGTGTATTCTTGCCTTGTTCCTTTCTAGTTTCTTCATTAAGTATAATATAGGCTTTTAAGTGATCTAGTATGTTTTAGCATGTTGAAAGGTACCCATTTTATCAAATAACTTCTCTCTCTCTTTTTTTGGTTAATCCTCACCCAAGGATATTTTTCCATTGATTTTTTTTTTTTCAGATAGAGTAGGAGGGAGGGGGAGAGATAGAGAGAAAAACATTGATGTGAGAGAGACACATTGATTGGTTGCCTCCCGCACAACCCCAGCCAGGGCTGGGGATTGAACCTGCAACCCAGGTACCTGCCCTTGACTGAGAATTGAACGTGTGACCCTTCGGTCCAAGGGCTGACACTCTAACCGCTGAACCAAACCGGCCGGGGCTCAAATACCTTTTCTTCATCTATGAATAGAGACATGATTTTTCTCTTTTGATCTATTAATATGTTGACTTTATATTACTACATTTCCTAATAGTAAATAATTCTTAAATTTCTGGAAGGAAAATCACAGTTGGTAATAAGATATTATTTTAACATTCTTTTAACATATTGTTGAATTTGTGTCTAATACTTTATTTACAACTTTTGCATTGGTATTTAAAAGTGAGATTAGTCTTTAGTTCTAATTTTCTTTTTCTGTGCTAGGTTTGTTGGGTTTTGGCATCAATATCTTGAGTTTCATATAAAGAATTTAAGTCTTCCTTTTTCTTATGTTCTATAACAAGTTAAATAAAAGCAGTACCTGTTTAAAATTTCTCAGAAAAATGCTTTTAAACTACAGATTGCGATTCAAAATGTAAAGACAACTTCAAAAGCAGGGATTAGAGAGAGAAAATAGATGAGCAACATGCTTCTTGATGCAACATAAAGGAAGCATACAGACATAATGTAGGCCACATCAAATGCATGCAGGCTGCCTGGCCAGAGTGGCTCACCTGGTTGAGCATCAGCCTGTACACTGAAAGGTTGCTGGTTTGATTCCTGGTCAGGGCACATACCTGGGTTGTGGCTTTAATACCCAGTAGGGGACTATATGGAAGGCAAGGGATCTATGTTTCTCTCTCTCTCAGCATGTCCTCTGGTGAGGATTTAAATGTGTACAGGCCGGATGTGGTCTAAGAACAGCCAATGTGAAACCCTATAGAATAAAAACAGAGACCATGTTTTACATGTTTGTATCCCCCACTCCAGGCTTAGCATGGTGCTGTGTGGCATCATAAGTAACACCATGGCTCGAAGATAGACAAATTCTCCTACTTACTGTGTGACCTTAGATAGAGCAATTCCCTTCTCTCAGCTACTCTCTCCCCATTTCCCCAAAGAAAATAAGAACAATAAACTTACCTTTAATGTGATGACTAAATGAGATGATGAGATACTGCATGTAAATTTCCTCACAAGGACTATTTTGTGGGTATGGTAAACTATGCTCATTTTTATCACTGTAATTACTTAATTTTTTCCCTCAAATAAAAATAATTTTCTATGTGATTATAAAGGCAGTACTTCTTCATTGCAAAATGGCAACAAAAATATATATACTCATACTGTATATAAACAGGATGATTCCATACATATATTATAGTCTAAATTTTTCACATAATAACATTGTGGCCATTGTTTCATTGACAACAGTAGCTAATGGATTAGAGGACTCCTTCACCTTCCTGTTACCATGAGTTCCTTTTCAGTGGCCATAGGCCGTATCTGGGTGTAGATGTCCACTGTGAAGAGGGTGCTGGCGCTGTTGAGAATAGAAGTCAGGGTGGACAAGAGAGAAGCCCATAGTGCGGACAGCATCAAGCCTCGGGCACCTGGAAGAGAAGGGACATTTCCTGGACCTCCAGCTCTCGCATTCCATGTCAGGAGATGCCTTAGGGCTCCTAAGAAACTTTTCTACATGGCAAATTTTCTCCTACAAAATATGCACATTTTATTTGGAGTGAAATTCCATCTAAGATAGATTAACATTACATTTGTCCTTGCTTTGTGAGGAGACTTACTAGTTTCTGGCTATATCCTTACATAATAATGGGAGCTAATGTCTTCTGAGTGTTAGTCTGTGCCAGAACATTTCTTTAGGCATTAGCCTGCTGGAGCCGAGCTCTGTCCCACCCTGTGCGATGGACACCACTGCCACCTCCCCCACTTTACAGAGGAGGAGAGAGAGGTTCAGAGGAGGTTCAGACTGTAGTCAAGTGATGCTATTCCTTTTGCCTCAGTGTCTTCATCTGTGAACTGGGCATAAAAGTACTCATCACAGGCTGTTGTTAAGATTAAGACAAATTAAGTAGATGGGTCAACACGATTCCCAATATAGAGCAAGCACTCAACAAATGTCAGCTTTCACATGACGACCTCGTTGTGTTACCGGAAAGGCCGCCGCGTGGCAGGGACCTGGCTCTGCTGGGTGAGCCTGAGGGTAACTGGTTCCTGAACTGAACCCTCTGCAGCCAGGCCCCCGTGGTATTTGCTGGGCTGCTCGGGACAGGCAAACCCTAGCGTCCCTGGATTTGCCTTCGGCCAGGGGCCGTGCAGCCCACTCTCACTCAGGGCCCTGGGTGTTCCAGGACGGCTCAGCCGGAAAATCTGGACCATTCCCCTCCTGAACTGTGGGATGGTTAGTATTTCCCTTAGTCAGATTCCATCTCTATTGTGTTTTACGGAAAAGTCTCAACTTTTCCAGGCTATTGACCTCCAGAGCTAATGCGGAATTTTTTGTTAAATTGTGCTACCCATCGGGCTGTCTCCACGGGGTTTCGGGAAGCAGGCGTGATGACCGCGCCGGTGGACTGTCATCTCGCACTGTGGGTGAACTGCCCGTCTCCTTGCCCATCTCATTGGATTGGAGCTCTGTGGGAGCAGGACTAGGTTTCTGTCATCTCTGCATTCTCGTAGATGAGACCAAAGTCTAGGGCAGCGTGCAGCCCATCTGTGGAGTGAAGGAGCGAAGGCGCGAGCCAAGCTGAGGAAGGGAACAAGCAGACCTCGAGCACAGGTCGTGCCCTGACGGCATGTGCACTACGAGTGTGAGTGTGTCAGGATGAAGGGGCAGGAGGTCCAGCTCCTTCCCCCAAGGCACGAGATTCCCTCTGTGCAACTAACTCTCTCACTCCACAGCCTACTTCACCCAGAAGGACGGGCTGACTGGTGGAGAAGCTCTCAGCCTGATGGCACAGGCTCCAATGGGGACACAGATCCTGGGGGTTTCTATGGCCTTAGATGGCATTTCTTACCTTTGGGCAGCAGCCCTACTATCAGCACTGAGTAGGCGATGGGGGTGCAGGAAGTTCTGATGCCACAATGCTTTTCACATTCAGAAGGGGTGACACATGCTACTTTGTCTGCAAAGAGAGATACAGTCACACCAACATGTTGGCTTTGGAGCTCTAAAATCTGAGCCCAGGGGAAAGGGATACAAATAGGAATCATAGGTTCCTGACTTGACATATTCTTGGTCTACTAGTGAGTCCTCCAATTCATGATCCTATACACTCTGAGGAGCTTTGGGTAGAGGCAAAAGCTAGGAGTTATGCACTGAGGAATCAAGTGAATTGATGCTTCTACCTATTAATTCACTGCTTGAACCTAAGCAAGTCCTGTGACCTCTACAAATCTTTTAATTATCCTAGCTACTTATTAGGAAAGCAAACGGATCATTCATCTACATACTAGTGTGTGAACAACTCATAATCTTACTCCCTTAGCCCTGATAGGGTGTTATTTTAGAATATTTGGGAAGAAATTTTGGATAAAGGAAAGTAAAGGGAGTGAAAGAGACATACCCTTCAGGAGCTTAAATAGATATTAAGTTACCATGTGAGAAACCCCCACCCATAATAAATCAATATAGACTAGGAGGAGGCGGGATATTGCCTAAGTTTATGGGTAAAGAAAGCTATTTTATTGGGGACAGCTATCTGGAGAAGGAATGTAAAAACCCAAGGGGGTGGCTACAGTGAACATCTGTTCATCTGCTCACTCTCCTTTATCCCTGGGTGGGTAACACAACCTCAGTCTGACTTGGCGTGGTTTGGGGGGGCCCAGGAGCAGGCCTGGCCATTCTGAATATCCCTTCTCCTTGGACACAAGGACTGGTCCCTATCACCCTAGTGAGTTCACCAGGGCTCATCTGGGATTTCGGCAGGAACTACTGGAAAAGAAACACTTTCTGTGGGGGTTGTTGAGCTGGTGGGATAGAAGCCTAGTGCAGCTGGTGACAATCTTGCCACCAGATGGCCTGAGGATGACACCAGCTCAGAAGAAAAGAGGCCAAAACACACATCATTTTCAAACAAAAGCCCAAGTAATACAGAAGCCTACCCAGAAAACCCAATTTAGAGGACAATATCTTGGCAGTGTTTGGCCCCCAGGTCTGGCCAGGGGAGAGACCCAGAATCAGTCCAGGTTACTAGAAATGCATATTCTTCCAGGAACCTGGGCAGGTGCCAAGCTTTCATGATTAATGGCTTTCTGGCTTTCTACACTTGGCATGTATAAATGGATCTGTGAATGGGGCCATTTCTGAGGACTAGGAACAAGTGGCTCTGGGCCTTTTTCCACCCCTAGGGCTCTCCCTGGTGCATTCCATCAACTCTATTCACCTCTTGGTCAGAAAGCTGGAGAGAGTCTGGCTTCCTGAGGCCCATTCCAGCCAGAGGGAAGAGCTATGCCCCCCTCCCCCCCCCCCCCCAGCCCAGGCCTTAGCAGCTTTTAGAGTCCAAAATACATGCAATTCTGCCCAATCTTGTTCTTTGGTGAGTGAGTAGTCTGTAGTATGGAGTGGGGGTTGGGAGGCAGGCCATGAAGTCCAGGGGACTCTTGGGTTGTAGAGAGCACAGAGGCCAATATTACCCACTGAATGAAGAGGTATCACCTCTGAGACCCAAGAGTGCTGCCTGACAGCCAAAGACCAAATGTGGAAATACTGAAACAGAACACGCTTTCCTTTCTGTTAAAACTGGAAAGGAATTAGGATGAAAAAAAGACATGTCTCGGGGCAGACTGAAAGATGACTTGGGGTTAGAGATGTCTACTGCACATGTCACTGAGCAATGAGAAATGGTTACACCCTGTTGGGCCTGGCCACAGCATTGCAGCAGAAGACACTTGTGGATGCTGCCATGTCTGTCCCACTGGCTGCACCTATCAGAGTACATGCTCCAGAAAGGCTGAATGAATAAACAAACCTGGGACCCTGAGGGGCAGTGTAGCTAGTAAAACTAGGGGATGAGCTAGTTCCCCTTATGATAGCTCATTGAGGGGAAAAAGGATATTTTCATAGCATTTAATAGAAAGAATGTGGGCCTCAGAATGAGATCTACTTTGGGGGCTACATGGAGCTCCCCCTCCTGCATACCTCATCTGTGCAATGAGGCTACACAAGCCCTCTCTGGGCCGAGAGCAGGGCTAGCATCGGTCAGAGCCCCACACAGCGCCTGGCACACAGGCCCACCAGGATGCTGCCTCAGATGCAATGGGAGGAGCTCAGCCTTCCCGCCTTGGCCAAGACTGGATGCCGGCTGCAGGGAGCATTGGTTGGCTCTTCCCTGCCTGAACTCCTCTCTCTGGGACTTCTCTCTGGCCACCTACCTCCATGGTCTCTGTCATTTGCTCAGCTGCATCCCTAATCCACACACATTAGCTCCCAAGGCAGCCGTCCAGGGCACCTTGACACCAGCACACTGTAGGAGACCTGATAACCCCAAATGCTATCTATGTCTCTATGACAGGAGTTGACTGGGGTGAGCACATCAGAATCTAGAATTTACCTGGGTATAGAACGCGGCTGATCATTCCAGGCATCACTAAACTGAACATGGGCAGCAGTTTCAGGTACCCACAAAGGACACAGCCACCCTTCACGTGAGACATGCTCCTCCCTGCCAGGCACCTCTGGACAAAAATCTGCCAAGGAAACACAGATGGGTGAGGGAGGTGGTCGCTTTATCAGAGCATATAATGCCCAGGCTGCTTTGGCACAGATAGAATAATTGTGACCTACTGTGGCAACCAGATGTGTCCTCTGGTGGGTTTCTGCTAAGCAGCCCACCCTAAGCACCCAGGCATCTCCAGGGCATCCAGGGCCAGAGGAAATGCGTGTGACTGGTAAGGGCGTTTTGCTCAGTGCACAGCCGCCAGAGGGGACAGGGATGGCATGCATGACCTTGGCCTCATTGCTAGCACTGCACACCAATCATGGCTGTACAGTGCTTACAATCTGTCCCATGGCAAGGACAAGACTCCCTCCTAGAGGCTACAGACTGTCTTTGCTGGGTAGAAGGAAGAGAGCCCTGGGACATCAATTAAAGCAAAGGTGGGTTCCTGGTAACAAATGAGTGTTCAGAACTGGGACCAGCTTCATTCATCTAAATTTAAATGAACTAGTATAAACCTTCAAAATGCAAAAATCTCCAGAAGATGTTTCACGAGCCATTTCATGGTGCTCCTGCTGTTAAGAAGAAGTGTGCACTCAGGCCGAAAGATTAGATTAGCTGGCAGGCGAAGAAACACTTCAGAATACAAAGACACAGTCCAGTACCTCAAACTAATTCAGTATTATGCATGCACTAAAATCATGTTCTTTTTTTTATTGTTGAAAGTATTATAGATGTCTCCTCTTTTTCCCCCCATTGACCCCTCTCCTCCTTGCTCCTACCACCCTCCTGTCTTCCCCAACCTAATAAAATTATGTTCTTGAAGAACATTTAAATAATGTGAAAAATGCTCACAGTGTGATGGTAACTAAAAGGCGCAGGATGCAGCCCTGGCCGGTTTGGCTCAGCGGTTGGAGTATTGGCCCGCGGACCATAGAGATCCGGGTTTGGTTCCCGCTGAGGGCACGAACCTCGGTTGTGGTTTGTCCTCCACTAGGGCCGTGTGGGTGGCAACCAGTCATTGTGTCTCTCTCACGTTGATGTTTCTCTCTCTCTCTTCCTCCCTCTCTCCCTCCTGCTCTATCTGAAGATAAATTAAAAAATGTCCTCAGGTGAGGATAAAAAAAAAAAAAAAAAGACGCAGGATGCAACAACAGCATATACCCCGCGACTCCAAACTGTGCCCCAATATTTTAGTTTTGTCCTGTTTTACCCCTTATATTCATAATTATTATGTACTAATCAGCCAATGCTGATTTGCTCAAATCAAAAAAGCCAATGCTTTAGATTGGCTCACGTGCCTGTCAATATCTCTACTAACTATGCCTTCTTGCTCTCCAGTACTTCCCTTTTCTCTGTGTTCATCTTTCGGTCTTTAAGAACAGTAACATCTTTATTTTGCCTTTGGTTTTGATATTTACTTAGAACTTCAAACATTTTTACTCTTCTATCTTTGGGCTATACTGTTGGTCCTGAGAAGTCTGTTGTCAGTATAACCGTCTTCTTTTATAAGTACAGGTAACCTTTACTCCCAGGAGGCTTTCAAAACCTTCTTGTCTTTGAAGTTCTGAACTTTTATTATGATGTGACTGTGTCAATGTCTGAATTATTTCTGCTTGAGATTCACTGTGCTTCCTGATTTTGATGGTTCCTGCTATTTCAACAACTGTAAAAATTAGCACTTTCTCTTTCCTTTTCTTCTGGAACTCTAACGAGATGTCTTTTAATCTCCATTCTCTCCCCCACGTCACTGTTTCTCTTTCACGTTTTCCATTTTTGTGCTTTCTGGGCAATTTCTTCCGTTTTCTCTTTCAGATTACTACATTTTCCCCTTCAGCTATGTTTAATCCGCTATTTTAATAGTGACTGAATTTTACATTTCAATAAGTATATTTTTCATTTCTAGGAGTTTGAGTTTTCAAATCTGATCTTCTTTTAGTAGAACTGTATTAATGTTTTCAGTTGCACGTTGATTTCTTTAAACACTTATTTTGCATTTGGTTATCTAACACTTAAATTTCTGAAGGTCGGGGGTACTAATTCTTCTGCTTCTTGCTTAAGGTGCTTTGATTCTTCCATGTTTTCTAATGTTGGTTTGGAGGCTTATGTTGTGCGGCATTTATTTATGGGAATCCTGTAAACCGTGGTCAGGGTGCATCCCTTCAGAGAGAAATTTGCTGTTACTTCTGCTAGGCCAGTGTGTAACTCTGGATTAGTTCATGAGCATTTCTTCCCATGGGGTTTCTCTGACTATACAAGATCAATGAAAAACCCAAACATATAAGGAAAGCAAGCCTGCTGTTACGAATTCTCAGATGAGACTTTTTTCCTCCTCTTGGAATTCAGGTTGAGGCTCTTGTTCTTTTTTTTGTCGCTGTTTCTCCTTGCTGGAGGGCAGATTCTTTTCCTAGTCTACCTTTTCACGGAGGTTACAGCCTTTCGAGAACCCAAGTTCTCCGTGGAGGCTTACCTCTTTACCGTCCATCCACCCAAGGACTTTCTCCTGCTCTCCCCTGGGCATTTACACCTACGCCCTGGAGACCACGCTTGGTACATGCTGTCAGGCACCGCTGTGTCAGCTTAGCTCTCGTCTCAATTCTCTCTTTGCTTTTGGCCTCTGGGATTTTCTTCCTTTCTTACAAGCTCCTCTATGAATATAAAAAGATGTCTGTTATATTTACCCAGCATTCCCAGGAGTTTTGTACTGGGAGATAGTTCAGGAAATCTAGGTGACCTATTGTGAGAAGGAGAAGTCTGGGGCAACTTAAAAATTTTTTTTTCCTTTATTGATTTTAGAGAGAGAGGAAGGGAGAGGGAAAGAGAGGTAGAAACACTGATGAGAGAGCATCGATTGGCCGCCTCCTGCATGCCTCCCACTGGGGACTTGGCCCACACCTGGGCATGTGCCCTGACTGGAAATTGAACCAGCGACCTCTTAGTGCATGGATTGATGCTCAACCACGGAGCCACACCGACTGGGCCTGGGGCAACTTTTAAAGTTATGGTTACAGAAGAAATTGAAAAGAAAAACACAGAAATATTTTTCTTATCTTCTAGGTTAAGTAGCATAACTAAAACACAGAATAATAAACAGAAGGGAAAAATACAAATTAAAAAATTATAGCTACATTGTGGAGAAGACCCACGTACTGTGCTCCAGATCTCATCTTGTTTCTTGGCCCTCCACTCAGTACAGTTTGAAGAGCCATCAGTGTTGCTACGTGTACATCTAGTCCATTCTTCTAACTGGTGCAGAGTATGCCACAGTATTACCCTGGCCCCACTTCATCTATCCACTTCATAGTAACTGGCACAGTCAGCTCTGTGATCAATGTCCTTATGAATCTGCATGAGGATTTTTAATTTAGATTCTGAGGAACGCTGTTGCTAGGTCATAGAGTACAGTGTATTTAATCTTATTAAACACTGCCAGACTACCCTTCGGAACAGACTGGGCCAGTCTCTACTCCCACCAGAACGCACGAGGGCTCCTGAACGCACACGCATCTTCTCCAACACTTGCCACTGTCAAGCTTTCTAATTCTTGTCAGTCTCATTGTGGTTTTGAGTCGCACTTCCCCAGTATCGCTGGGTGTTATGTTTGTTAGCATTTACATTTGTTTGAATTTCCTTTTCTATAAATTGCCTGTCATCTTTTGCCCACAATTTTACTGGAGCTGTTTTCTTGTGGATTTTCCATTATTCTCTTGTTCATTACATTTCTAATAATCTTCTCTAATCTATCATATGTCAACTTTGTCCATGGTATTCATTGTTAAAAAGTCCTTATATGTAATGTGATCACATTGATATGATTTATATTTCCCTCTCTGTCTCAAAAATGTTCTCTAACATTACCTTCCCTTAATTGTATAGTTTTACACTTCACATTTAAGTCTTTAATCCATCTGAGGTCCACCTCATATAAGTGTTAGGTAGGGATGAAGTTTTGTTACTCCAAATATAAGCTGGTTTTTCTAACAATAGCAAAGAGTATGTATCTCCCCCAATGATGAGTGGAGCCTCCTTGAATATATCTTAAATTCCTATCAGTACATTGTCTGTTTCTGAGGTCTTTATTATTTCCCACTAGTCTATGTGTCTATTCTTGGAAAATTCAAACTGTTTTTATTACGAATACTCTGTAGATGTTCAAATATCTGGTCAGGCAAGTTCTTCCCCTTTGTTCTTCATTGTCACACTTAGGTTAGCTATTTGTGGCATTTTCTTCTTCCACAAAATGTTTGAACTTTTTAAAAAATTGTGATATAACACACGGAAGTATATTGTAGCATGTGACAGAGCTTATTGTGTAACCGCCATCCAGGTCCAGAGATGATACACCGCAGAACCCTCCCTGGGACCCTTTAAAGAAATGACACAGAATTCACGTACCACATCATTCAGCATTTTGAAGTGAACAGTCTAGGAGCATCCAGCACATCTCATTGTTGAGCAACTACCGCCTCTCTCTGGTTCCAATACTTTTTCAACACCCCAGAAGAATGCCCATGTACATTCAATAGTCACTGTCCATTCCTCCTCCCCTCAGCCCCTGGCAAGCATGAATCAAATTCCTGTCTCTATGGATTTATCTATTCTGGATATTTCATATAAAAAGAATCGTATAACAGGTGATTTTTTGTGTCCAGCTTCTTTCACTTAGCATAATGTTATCAAGATTCATCTAGGTTGTCGCATGTATCAGTACCTCATTCCTTTTTATGGCTGAATGATAGTCCAATGCACGGACATGCATTTTGTTTATTCATTCATTTGTTGGTGGGTATTTGGGTTGCTTTCACCTTTTGGCAATTGTGAATAATGCTACAACGTGTGCCTCTTTGAAACCTCAACTCTGTCCCTTGCTCCAGAAATAATTGCTTTCATGACTATTATATTTCTTCCTTGCTTTCCTTTATAATTTTTTTGCCACTTAATTTGTATATATGAACAACACAGCAATGGTTGTGTTAAACATTACGCAAATATAATCACACAGTACCTAGCCTTCAGAGTGTAGCTTCCTTTTTATTTCTATATCTCCTTTTCACTGTAAGAATATCTCACAATTTATTTAATGATCTACCATTGAGAGGAGCCATATAATTTTTAGAATAAGTTTAAGTCCTTAAAAATCCAACTGAAATACTGATTGGTTGCATTTAATTTATAAACTCAATTGAGGAGAACTGACTTATTTTTCACATCCAAAAAACTGTGTTTTATATAATGATAGGGAAGAATAATGCAAATAGTTGATGTGCTATAGATGGCACTGTGGGAGAAATTACTTTTAAACAGAACTTCATATAAAGTTATTTAGGCAATAAATAAAGATTGGAAGGGAAACTTGACCTCTGAGTGCAGACAGGCCCACTATGGTGGAACCTGGACTCCACCGAGGACCAACAGCCCCCAAGGCAGTCACTTCAGCTGCAATGTGTCCAATTACCTGATCAGTGCACCAGTAGTACAAGGAGATGATGGAGATGCCAAAGACGATTCCAGGCCAGGGGAGGTCTCCGGTGATGGGATCTCGGAAGATATGAAAAGCATCCCGGCGAGGGAGGTAGCATTCTGGCTTGGCAGTCCAGTTTCCTTCATGGATTATGCTTGGCTTAGCATTTAAATATTTATGTAGTAGCTCCTGGTATCCTCCCACTTCCTTAAAGGCTTAAAAACAACATAAAATTTATCAGCACCTTAAATTGTTCAATAACACATCTAAAGAACCAAGATTACAAAGTAAGACCCAGTTTGATTAACTGTATCTAATATATAAAGTGAAATGGACTGACAAATAGTCAAGACAGTATGTGCCTAGCCCTGGCCAGTGTGGCTCAGTGGGTTGTCATCCTGTGCACTGAAAGTTTGCTGATTCGATTCCCAGTCAGAGCACATGCCCAGGTTGCAGGCTGATCACCAGCAGGGGACATGCAGGAGCCAGTTGATCCATGTTTTGCTCTCACATGGATATTTCTCTCTCTCCCCCCTCTCCCTTCCTTTCATTCCCTCTCTAAAAAAAAAAAATTAATAAAAATATATTAAACAAACAAACAAAAAAGACTGTATGTGCCTAGCCCTGGCCGGTGTGGCTCAGTTGCTTGGAGTGCCATCCCATACACCATAAGGTGGCAGGTTCAATTCCCCATCAGGGCATATACCCAGGTTGCAGGTTTAATCTCCAGTCAGGGTGTGTGTAGGAGGCAGCCAACAGATGGTTCTCTCTCACATCAGTTTCTCTCACTTCCTCTAAAATCAAGAAAGTCCTTTAAAAACATTTTTTTAAAGCTGAATTAAAAACAAAACAAAACTATATGTGCCTCTAAGAAAATATACCATCTTTCTCAAAGAAAAAGGAGAGTACAGTGGACACTGGTGGCTGTGTGCCCAGCAACTCCTGTCCCTGCTTCTGGTAGCAGAACCCCTCTTTTGAGCTGCATTCCACCCTATGTGGCTTAGGTGGGCCTTGTCGAACTGTCTACCATTCCAATCCGGCTCCCTATCCCCTGGGCAATGACTGATAGAATGGATTTGAGACTCAAACTCGGCTAATCAGAATTTGTCTCAGGATTCATTCTTCTGTGTAAGGAACCAAACAGGCCTGCTTTCTTCCTTTGGGGTTCTCAGCTAGTATAGCAGTTTGAAGCTCTTCTGTCTACCTGGTTCATGCAGAGCCCTGGATCTAGCCATGCCTGACGGTAATGTGACCCTGAGATTTTTAGTTATGTGAGCCAAGAAAGTACTGTTTGCTTATACTAGTTTTAAACTAAAGTACTATCACAAGTAACCAAAATAATCTTGAATAAGACAGAAATTAATATTTGTTTTCCTGCAATGTCTGCAAGACATTTATGAAACTTTATACTTAAAATTTTCTTCCGAGCCTGTGGCATTTCTCCCTCAATAAATGATGTGAAATCTTAACATTAAAACCCGGGCCAGTGCAGCTCAGTGGGTTGGGTGTCGTCCTGTGCACCGGAAGGTCGCCAGTTTGATTCCTGGTCAGGGCACATGCCTAGGTTGTAGCCTTGATCCCCGGAAAAGTGCAAGTTGATGTTCTGCTCTTACATGGATGTGTCTGTGTGTGTGTGTCTCTCTCTCCCTCCCCCTCTCTAAAAATCAATTTTAACAAATCTTAACATTAAAGAAAACTATTTTCTAAAAGGCACTAAAATACCCATAATTCCATCCACTTAACTAAAAAATACTCTTATTTTGGCATATGAAACCATGTTCCTTTAATATAGACCTGAGTTTCTGAAATGGATTCAGAGTCATTTGGAGTCAAGACTGGTCAATTAAAGGACACTGAGTGACTATACTTCACTGTATTAAAAAATGTGAAATACAAACTACAAAGTTATTGTAAGAAAAAAGAATATATTTATGAACTTGAGTTAGGGAATATATTCTTAAACATGATACTAAAAGGAAAAGGAAGGTTGATGAAATTGACTTCAAAATAAAAATTTACATGACTGAAATAAAATTAAAATTTTGTAAAGGGGGAATAAATGGTGATGGAAGGAGACTTAGGGTGGTGAACATATAATACAATATACAGATACTGTATTATAGCATCGTACACCTGAAATCTATATAATTTTATTAACCAATGTCACCCCAATAAGTTCAATAAAAATTTTTTTAATTTAAAATTTTGTTTGACTGAAAGAAGAGATTTGCATCATGTATAAAGAACTTCTATACATCAATAGCCAAAGAAAATTACTAGAAAGAAATATAAGAATATGAACAGATATTTCACAAAAAGAGGAAATTCACATGGCTACTAAGTATATGAAAAGATGCTCAACCTCACCGATGTCTGGAAACTTAGAATTAAAATTAAAATGAGATACATTTTTTCTTCACCAATTAGGCATATATTTTAAAAGCCTTAAAACATTAAGTGTTAGCTGGGAGATTATAAGACATATTCTCATACATTGCTGAGAATATAAATTAATACAGTAGTCCCCCCTTACCGATAGGGGATATGTTGCAGGACCACCAAGTGGATGCCAGAAACTGCTGCTAGTACCAAACCCTATATATACTATGTTTTTTTCCTATACATACATACCTATGATAAAGTTTTTTCTTTATAAATTAAGCACAGTAAGAGATTAACAACAAATAATAATATTAAAATAGAACAATTGTAACAATATACTATAATAAAAGTTGTGTGAATACGGTCTCTTTCAAAATATCTTTTTTAAAAAATCTTTTTTTTTTCTTTTAATGATTTTAGAGAGAGAGGGAGAGAGAGAGAAACATCAGTGAGAGAGAACATCAATTGGCCTCCTCCTGCATGCCCTTCACTGGGGATTTGGCCCACAACCTGGGCATGTGTTCTGACCGGGAATCAAACCAGTGACCTCTTGGTGCATGGGTTGATGCTCAACCACTGAGCCACACCAGCTGGACTCAAAATATCTGTTTAAAAAATATATATTTTTGCCCTGGCCAGTTTGGCTCAGCGGTTAGAGCGCCGGCCTGTGGTCTGGAGAGACCCGGGTTCGGTTCCCGCTAAGGGCACGTACCTCGGTTGCAGTTTGTCCCCGGCCCTGGTCGGTCGTGCGGGTGGCAGCCACTCGATGTGTCCCTTCACGTCGATGTTTCTCTCTCTCTCTCCCTCCCACTCTATCTGTACAAAAAATGGAAAAATATCCTCGGGTGAGGATTAAAAAAAATAAATAAATAAAAAAAATATATTTTTATTGATTTTTTTTTTTAGAGCAAAGGAAGGGAGAGAGAGATAGAAACATTAATGTAAGAGAGACACACTGATCAGCTGCCTCCTGCATGCCCCCCTCTGGGGATCGAGCCCACAACCTGGGCATATGCCCTGACCAGGAATCGAACCAGGGTCTCTCAGTCCATGGGATGATGCTCAACCACTGAGCCACACTGGCTGGGCTCTCTCTCAAAATACCTTATTGTACCATCCTCACCTTTTCACTTAAGGAAGCACTTTATGGCTTCTCTTTGGCATATCCAAATTGCCAGCATCACTACTCTTGAGTTTTGGGGACACTGTTAATGAAATAAGGGTAACAAATACAAGCACTGCAATACTATGACAGCTGATCTGATAGCTGAGATGGCTACTAAATAACTAACTGGTGGACAGGGTATACAGTGTGGATTTGCTGGATAAAGGGATGCTTTATGTCCCATATGAAATAAAGTGGTATTTCATCACACTACTAAGAATGATGTGTAATTTCAAACTTATAAATTATTATTTCGGAAATTTCTATTTAATATTTGTGGACTGTGGTTAACTGCAGGTAACTTGAAACCATGGGAAGTGAAATAATGGATAAGGGGGAACTACTCTATAGCCAGTTTGGAGAGGAATTTGGGGTATCTCTTGATAAAGCTGTGTTTATTCCAGTAATGCAAGGCCAAGTTAACATTCAAAACCAAGTTGATATAATTTATTGTGTTAACAAAATAAAGGATAAAAGTAATAGAATCATCTCAGTAGATGGGAAAAAACACTTGATATAATTAAAACCCATTTATGATAAACAATCTTAGTAAATTAACTTCATTAGTATCAAAAGGTGTATCTACAAAAAATTGACAACAAATATTTTATATAATGGGGAAATATTCAAAGCTTTTCTTCTAATGGGAATGAGACAAGAATGTCTGCTGTCTTTACTTCTATTCACTGCACTGAAAGTCACAGCCAGTGTAATAAGGCAAGAAAAAGAAACAAAAGGTATAAAGTTTGAAAAGGAAGGAAAAAAAAGATAGCTTCTTGACTTGGGTGCTGGTTGCCAGAGTGTGTTCACTTTTTGATATTTCATCTAGCTACACATTTGACTTGTGTACTTTTCAATAAAAAGTTTATTACAAATATAAAAACAAAAAAGATGCAGAGACTTTATTTGTTGATACAGAAATTTGCCTATGATATAGTACCAGTGGTAGAAAACAGATACAAAATTTTGTTTGATTATATTGAAAATATATCTCAATGATAAAAAAATGTTAGTATATATGAGAAATACTTCTGGAAGGATATACACCAACTTTATAGTACTGGTTGTCTGGGGAGCTGATTTAAGAAATTGTGGATAATGAGTATTTCACTGTGTACTTTTTTGTTTTGTTTAGCTTGTGTATATATTATTTAAAAATAAAATTGTATGTGCATGGGTTTCCATGGTGACTACTTTGAAGGACAACTCTCATTTGGATGTACAAGTTCTTGTACATTTTTAAATGAAAACAGTTATTCAATTACTTTGTAAGAGTTTACTTATTGAAAGAACTAACAAGAATACCTCAATAAAAATCCCATTAAATGTCTCAGTTTGTTCAGGCTGCTATAATAAAATATACACTAGGTGGCTTATAAACAACAAATATTTACTCCAACATTTCTGGAGGCTAGGAAGTCCGAGACCAAGGTGCTGGCCAACTGGTGTCTGGTGAGGGCCTACTTCCTGGTTCTTAGATAGCCATCTTCTCACTGGGTCCTCACATGGTGGAAGGGGAGAAGGCGCTCTCTGGGGTTTCTTTTACAAGGGCACTAATGCTATCCACGAGGGCAGAGCCTCCCAAAGGTGGGGACCTTTTAATTCCATCACATTGGGGATTGGGATTTTAACATATACATTTTGGAGAGACACAGATATTGTCTATAACAGTAAAAATAAATATAATTATTTAGAAATATAATTGCTAATATAAATGGAATATTTCACCAGCGCCTGAAGTTTAATTGGATATCATTTTCAACTACTGGGGTGGCCTTGGCAGGTTTAAAAAATGTTGATGTTTGCCCGGCTGGTGTGGCTCAATGGTTGAACGTCAACCTGTGCACCAAGAGGTCACCAGTCTGATTCCCGGTCAGGGCACATGCCCAGGTTATGGGCCAAATCCCTAGTGGGGAGCATGCAGGAGGTGGCCAATCGATGTTCTCTCTCATCGATGTATCTCTCGCTCCTTTCCTCTCTCTCTAAAAATCAATAGAGAAAAAAATGTTTATGTTTACTATAAGCACACAGTGGCTTAGTGTGTTTTAGTTTATAGTTTTGTCACTCAAATTAGTCATTGCTTCTTAGCTCATTAAAAAATTCCTTGGATCATGCCTGACATGTATTCTGTGTCCCAGCAACACCATATTGAGTATACTTCATGGCACACTAATGCTTACCGAATAGTAAGACAGAGGAGTGCATGGCAGCAACGTGATCTATGGAACCATAACCCTTCAACTGTAGTCACATATCACTTTACTGTTTTTTCTATACACTTCAATAACTTTTCCTTCTAGGTATCTGCAAGACCAATCTCCTACCCATGGAGCAGTGGGTAACAGCAACTTCACTAAGGTCATACTCCTATCCTAGCTAGTGGAAGGAAATGTCCATTTTAAGGTAAGTGTACTTGCCATTACAGGTATTGTAATATATATACATTCACATATCGGGCTTTGGTGTTAGAGACCCAGCTATGAGCTCTACGCTTGATGTAGCTTGCAAGCAAATTACTTAACAGAAACTTACTTTCCTCATCTGTAAAATGGGGATAACAATAGTAGTTATGCTTCATGGAGATTGCGATTAAAGAGGCAATACAGAAAAATGCCTACAAGGTACCTGATATTCAATTCATATCAGCTGTTATTTTCATCATTATTACTTAATACTTTGTTGGATTCTTACATTGCCCTTCTTTGTCCCAGTTTCCTTTTTTTTTGATGAATGAATAACCTACCACGTGCCTCAGACTGCACTGTATGAGGGATACATTGGTTCTGGTTCTTAAAAAGTCTTGAACCTGGGGAGTACAATTTACTCACGTGACACAATCAAGGAACAACCGAGGTATGAATAATGTGTGTTAAGATGTGTGGCAGTGATGCAAGTCCAGAGAAGAAAGATGTACAGGTGGAATAATCCTAGAATCACCCCTTTGGGGAGGATCTTCCAAGGACATTGACAGGTGGGCTGAGTGACTGAAAAGGAGAGGGGCTTCTAAGTGGGGAGGAAGAGCATGGACAGAAGCACAGAGGTGGGGATAAGAGTGGTGGACCACTCTTGACTGCTCTCATTGCCTCTCTGATTCCTGGACACCTAGCTTCTCAGGTTTCCTCCCCAATTTTCAGCATGCCCTTAAACAATGCTGTTGGGTTCTGAGGGTCTCTCCTCATCTTCAAGATGAAGACGCTGAAATGGCCCCAGGCAGCAATCAGATTTAAAGATTCCACCATGGTGCTGGATCGTCTCAAGATTTACTTACCAAAGCCCATTAGCAAGACTGATCCCAGAATAATAACGCCAGCATGTAAGGTAGCAGTATAAACCACAGCTACAATGCCACCTGAATAGGCAAGAGAAAGAGGAACAAAGGCCACATTTGCTCTGAATGTCGAAAGTTGCTTTGGCATCCTATTCTGCAAACTTGTTTCCTCCAGATCTCCACACTCACACCTTTTGTCCATTTATTCAGTGGGCCTTACAGCTACTTGTGCTTGGTCTCGGTACACCTTATTTTCTCCCTAATATCCTTCATGATTTTTTGCTGGATTCTTATCTTGCCCTTCTATGTCTCAATTTCCCTTTACTTCCCATTTTTTGGATAAATCAAAATCTGGCAGTTTTCCTAAAGAAAGAAACCTGTTAGTTTTTTAAAAATATGTTTGGAAGCAACAGTTAGCACACCCCTGGCCTCTATCTGCTAGATGCCAGTAGCACTCTCCAGCTGTGACAACCAATCACGTCTTCAGACATTAGCAAATGTCCCCTGGGAAGAAGAGCCCGATCCCCACTCCCTCACATTGAGAACCATTGATTTCGTGCATTTCATCCTCTCTACTCGACATGGTGAACTGCCCGGCATACTTCCCAGCATCCAAGACTTGCTCTGTGGCTTGAAGACACATGATGCATACCCTCCCTCTCAAAGCCTAGGCAGAGACGTCTAGGACAGAACTGCCTACGTAAAAGTTCCTGTCTGATGGCCTGACCAGGTTACCAGGTGAGCAGGATGGCCTGAAGTGGCGGCCTCCCCCTCCTTCCCTTTCTGTGGTCCCATTTCTTTACCTGGCAACCTGCTCACTCAGGCCCATCCCCACCTAAAACAGGATCACTGCCAACTCGAATATTTTCACTGTTCTCCCCTCCCCCCAGACCTCAGCCATGTGCTCTCCAGCCTTAGGAAAATGCAAAAGCTGCAGACCCCTGCTTCAGTGTCTACCAAGACTCCACTAAGAGGTAGAGCTTTTGTGTTAATATAAATACCTGTGTGGTTAGAGCAACCTCACCTGTGATAATATAAATGCCAGTCACTGTCAGCAAGACTATGGTGGCCAGGTAAACATCCAACCCCAAAAACAGCCTCGCGAACATGGCACCAGTGCAGATCTCCACCTGCAATGATCCAAGACAACAGGCTGCACTTTCCTTCGGCTCAATCGACAGCAGTCCCGCAGAGACACTGACCTCAGAAGCCATCTGCAGTTAGACAAGCACTACATCACTAGTGGGCACTGAGTGAGGGCTCCCCAAGTTCTGCTGGGCAACAAGGATTGTGCCCCACGAGTTCAGCCAAGGTCAGCACCTTGAGAGCTTAGGTTAACTCAGTTAATCCATGTCATACACTTATCCCCTTCCTCCCTGGGGCCTCAGGATGGGGAGTGTGCTCAGAGTGAGCTTTTCCTGCAGTTTTGCATTGGGAAAGGCAAAGGGACCAGCTTGTTAGGAACTGGCAAACTTTTTCTGTACAGGACCAGATGGTAAATACTGTTTTTTTTCTTTTTTCTTTTTTACAATGCTTAGCACTGTAAAAACCATTCTTAGCTTAAGGACTGTACAAAGTTGACTACTATGAGGACTGGCCTATGGGCTGGATTTGTTGATCTTTGTCGTAGATGACAGTGATTCTGAAGCATCTGCACATCATTTAACCAGCTAACTTCTTGCTTATTATTCTGGTCTCCAAAGCCAGGGATACAATGGGCAGAGATTTTCCTAACATTCATCTATCCATTTATTTACCAAATGTGTACAGAACACCATTCATGCAGCAGATATTTAGCAGGGTTCTGGAGACACAGGGTTACCAACAGTCAGTCACTGTCTTCAAGTAGCTTACACTTAATGATGGAGACAGACCACTAAATAGGCAATTTCCATGTACTGTGATAAGTGGCACTCACTCAATCGTTAAAAAAAATTTGAGTGTTTTATGTGCTAAACATGTTCTCAGCACAGGGGTATGCAGTGGGCAAGCCAGGCAAGGCCCTGAGCCTCAAGAAGTTTGCGCTGAAGTGGAGAAGAAGGTAGATAATAAGCAAGGAAACAAATTCCTCTCGTACGGTGACAAGTATTACACAGAAAATAAAGACAGAGTAATGGAGTAGAGACTGACCAACATTTCCATGGAAGGCCTTTCCAAGGACATAGTTGGAAAATATGGAGGAAGAACATTCTGGACACAGTACAGAGCAGGTGTCAAGGGCTTCAAGTGGGAATATACTTTCTGGATTTGAGAAACAGTAAGGCAGACAGTGTGGCTACAGCCCAGTGACTCCAGGAGAGGGGAGAGGCCCGAGAGGCAGGGGCTAGAACAGTCACCAGTCATAACAAGGGGTTTAGGTTTTCTGGCAAAGGCGGTAGAAATGCCTGGATTATTTGTTTGTTTGTTTTTTGGTACGTGCCCCTAGCAGGAACCGAACCCAGGACTCTGGTCCACGGGCCGACGCTCCAACCACTGAGCCAAACTGGCCAGGGCCGCCTGGATTGTTTTAAACAGGGGAGTGACATTACCTAATGATATGACCCAGGCAAGCCCAAGGTTCTCTGGGAATAGAGAAAAGGAACCTGTACGCTGGGCTTGGGAGGCAAAGATGCCTCTGCCTTTTATTTTTGTGAACTACTATTAAGCGGTTCTTTCTCTGCTCCAGCTCTAACAGCAGAGGCCGATAAGTAACTTATGGGGCCCGGAGGAACTGCTGGGAGAGATGGAGCACAGTCCCATCTACTGATTTTTGTTCATTTTCATTCTTGGGCTGGCTTTTGCACAACTTACTGAAATATTATAGAAGATGTATAGGAGTAAGTACAGAATAGCAAGGAGGAACTGGATCCGGTAGCCACCAAACCTCTTCCTCAAATATTCTGGCATTGTCACCACCTGCATGAGCAACAAGAGAAGCCACTGTCAGACAGAGTGCCAGAAGAGGCAGGCCCACAAGGACGGCCTTGCTCACAACCTGCTGGTTGTCACTGAGATGCAGCCGATGGTGGGAGTGGTCCAGGAAGACAAGACACAGGGTCACCGACTCTGGCCTTGTACTCCCCGGTACTGTGAAGATGAGAGGACCAAGGACAGGCAACACTGCTGTCTTCAAGAAGCTTGGAATCTAGCTTCCGGTGCAATCTTCAGAAAGCAGAAAGAAATCCAGCTAATTGAAAATGTTTCTGCCTTTTTCTTTCCCTCCTCTATCCGGGACACCGATTACATGTATGTTGGACTGCTTGATATTGTATCACAGGTCTCTGAGGTTTTGTTCCTTTTTCTTCAGTTTTCCCTCTGTTCTTTATCCCGGGTAATTCTTATCTTCAAGTTCACTGATTCACTGATTCTCATCTTAACTGAGCTGTTGAACCCTTCTTGTGAATTTTTCACTTCAGCTACTGTGCTTCTAAACTCTAGAATTTCCATTTGGTTCTTTTCTATAGTTTCATTTTCTCTGTTGAGAGGCCCTATATTGTTTTCTTTTACTAGAACATTTTGTTTTCTTTTACTAGAACATATTTATAATAGCAGTTTTAAAGTCTTTGTTACATCAACATCTGGGCCTGCTCAGAGTCAGTTTCTAATTTATTATTTTTTCTCCCTGACTGTGGGTCATATTTATTTTCTCATTTCTTTTCATATCTAATTATTCTGGGTTGAAGACTGGCCATCATAGATGATATGATGTAGCACTCCAGTATCTGTTTTGTTCTTCTGGGGATTGCTTTTTTTTGTTTTAGTAGGCAACTGACTTAACCTGGACTCAAACTGTAACATATTTCATGTCTCTCCCCGCCCCCATCCCCACTCTGCAGTGTGGCATGAAAGGTGTTACAGTCTGAATCCAGGTAAGTTAATTGTCTCAGAAGCTGATGCCTTTGGTGGTGGTGGTGGTGTTTTTTTTTTTCCCCTGTTTCTAGGCATTGCTAATTTAGCCAGGAACTCTGCAGGGTTTCCCTGCACCTGAGTAGTCTGACAGTCCGTCAAGGATTTGGGCAGAATTTATACTCAGTTTGGGGGGTTCTCTCTCTCATTGGTTTCCTTGCTTTGGAGCTCCCTACCTAGTTTTCCTGTTGCTTTGTCAGCCCTCAGCTCTGCCCTCTGACACCGCAAACACTTCTGCCTCCCACTGCCTACACTGTGTGGGCTGGGAAATACACTCAGTCATAGGCACAGTAAACACACACATCTCACCAGGTGCAGTTCAGTCTTTGTAGGACAGACATCCCTCTAGTTTCTGTGTTTCTTTTGTTTTGGCTGGGCTTCCTGGGATCTCACACATGCATGTGCACTTTGGTGGTCAGCCAGGAATCTGGGATTCTTGTATCTTATTTTCCAATCTATCTCAAGGCCGTAAAGATATTCTATACCTTCTTGTAAAAATTGAAAAATTTTGCCTTTCCTATTTAAGTCTTTAATCAATCTAAAACTATTTTCGTGTAGAATAGAGATCCAATTTTATTTTTTCATATGATAATCAACTGACCCTCCTTTCCTGTTATGCCATCAATGTCATAAAGTGCCCATATACGAATGTGTCTGGGCTTTCTCTCTCCTTCACTTGTCAATGTGTTTATCCTTGGGTCAATACCACACTGTTTCAAGTACTACAGCTCTCCAGTAAGCTATGTTCAGTAGGGCAAGTCCTTCTTATTTTTCTTCGATAGGAGTATTTTTGTTATTTATATAATTTTGCTCATCTACATACATTTTATTTATTTTTCCAGCTTTATTGAGATATGACATATAACATCATGTAAGTTTATGGTGTACAATGAGATTTGATACATGTATATATTAAGAAATGATTACCACAGTAAAATTAGTTAACATCTCCATCACCTGACATAATTACCATTTCTTTTGTGGTGAGAACATTTAAGGTCTACTCAGTAAGCAACTTTTAAGAATATTATACAATACTGTTAACTCTAGTCACCATGCTATTTTAAAAAATCCATTCAACCATCCATACCTTTTGATGGGAGAATTTAATTCACTTACATTTAAAGTAATTACTGATAGGTAAGGACTTAACTAATGCCATCTTATTAGTCGTTTTATGGCTATACTGTAGTTCAAAAGTTACTTTTCTTCCTCTCTTGTGTCTTCCTCTGTGAACTGAGGATTTTCTATAGTGCTATGCTTTCATTACCTCCTTTTTGTCTTTTGTGTATCTACTAGAGGCTTTTGCTATTGTGATTACCATGAGGCTTACTTAACATCTCTTGCCCTGGACAGTTTTGCTCAGCGGTTAGAGCATCAGCCCATGGACCAAAGAGTTGCGGGTTCGATTCTGGTCAAGGGCACGTACCTCGGTTGCAGTTCGGTCCCCAGCACTGGTTGGGGTCGCAGGGGAGGCAACTGGCCGATATGTCGACATATTGATGTTTCTCTCTCTCTTCCCCCTCCTTTCTTCCTTCCCTTCCTCCCTCTCACTCTATCTGAAGATAATTAGAAAAAATATACTTGGGTGAGGATTTAAAAAAAAATTTTTTTAATTTCATAGATATAATAGTCTTTTTAAGTTGTTAACTTTGATTGATACAAAACTACTCTCACTTCATTCAACATTTTGCTTTTGATATCATAATTTACCTTTTTTATATTATGTATACATTATGTAGATATAGTTATTTTAATAGTTTATCATTTAACCTTTATACTAGAGTTAAGTGATTAACATACCACCATGCTATAGTATTTGAGTACTCTGAATTTGACTATATACTTACTTATACCAGTGTGTTGTATGTTTTCATATTACTAATTAGTGTACTTTCATTTAAGCTTGAAGAATTCCTCTTGTGGTGTCATGTTTCCTTGATTTTTCACTTTCCTCAAAATCTTGCATTGCTGTCTTTGCATCTGAGGAAACAATCACCTTCCCCAGTCTTTACTGAGTGGCTTTTGGAGAGAAATATTTCCCGTTAGCCCTGCTGGAGATTCTGAGGCTTTCTGAGACCTTCTCTATGGACAAACCTGCTCTGCACGTCTTGATCCCTCATACGCGGGAATTCCAAAAATGGTGTCTTCTCTTGGTCCTGCAAAGCAGGCTGAGCGCTGCCAGCCTCTCGTTTGCTTGCTTTCCCTCGCAAGGTGCCGAGTGCTTGTGTTTGTGTGCTTTCTTCCAGTCCCGGAGTCAGGCCGCTTTCTGTACGTTCTCACTAGCTTCACGCACAGGCTCCCCCTTGCCACTGTCAGGGGGACTCAATGGGACCTGGCCACAGGGTGGAAGTACATGTAGGTGAGATGTGAGAATGTTGGGGTCACCAGCAGGTCACTGGCAGGCTTCCTGACGGTCTACAGAGCGATTAGTAGAATCCATGTTCCTTTGATGCCATCTGAGATCCCTGGCTGCGATGATATCAGCCACTTCCTGACCCCTAGTCATGCAGCACACCTCAGTGCGTGAGATGAAAAAGCAGCTGGAGCAGCCAGGCACTTACATGCTCCCACTTTCCCCGAGGGAACAACGTCTCAGGCTGAGAATTTCTCTCTTAGCACTAAGCTGTGCCACCTTGGGGGAGGGGTGACAAGGGTAAAGTGAAACTGCTCCTCTTACCCTCTTTAATGTGTCCAAAGTTGTTTTTTTTGCTCCAGCAGTATGCTGCAAATTCTCCACTGGACTCATGTACTTCGATAAAGGCACTCGTGTCTCTGGATGACCATTTAAATTGGTATTCTTTGGGGGAAGATGGTAGAAAGCTCTTATTTTGCCATGTTGATGAGATCAACATGTCCCTGTGGATGTACAGCCTAGATGGTCTCTTTGTTCTCCTCTCTCAGGCAGGCATATCTTTGTCCCCTTAGAATTAGCACATCAGTTCCTAAGAAATCCTGTTTGGATTTTGTTTGGAATTGCATGCCATGCGCAGACCAATCTGGGGAGAACCAACATTTTTAGGATGTTGTATTCTAATCATTAACATAATTTTTCTCTTCATTTATTTGGGTCTTATTTTTTAATAAAGTTTTAAAATGTTTTCTATAAAATCCTTAAGAGGTAACTCTGAGTAAGGTCCAGAGTGGAATAGCAGGCCGTTACTGGTGCTGGTTTACTCAAGGGCAGAATGATGCTATTGAAGGCATTTCTCAGGATTTAGGGAAGTCAGAACAGGGATCAAAAGGCTGAGAAGGTGAACTTATCTTCCAGGATGTTTTTATGTACAAATGCAATATTTGTAAGAAAAAATATTGTAGAAAATAGAGTAACTGATAATGGACACTCACCTCAGCCTTAATGAAAATAGGAGAAAATATCCAACCAAGAACACAGAGCAGAAATGGAGCCTGAAACCAAAAAGAAAAACATCAGGGTCCCATATGGGTCAAGCTCTTAAGTGAGATGCAAGCTCACTTACTATCTGTTTGGAGCCTTACTAAGGTATTACCGCCGGGGACCTGACAAACAACAGCCCAAGCGTACACTTCCCAGGCCAACGGACTTAACTTATAGGCACTTGATCTTTGCCTATAAAAGGGAGCATTCTTAATTGTGGGGGGCTCACTGAGCCAATTTTCAAGGTATTTATTATTATTCATTGCTTGCCTACTTCCAGATAGAAATGAAGGTGACTTATAATTAAATATAAAAGTCAGTTAAAAAAGAAAAATAAAAAAGCCCTGGCTGATTTGGCTCAGCGGTTGGAGCATTGGCCTGAGGATCAGAGAGTCCCAGGCTGGGTTCCGCTAGGGGCACGTACCAAAAAAAAAAAAGGTTAAAAAAGAAAAGAAAGAAAGCAAGCAAAATAAGAAACCATTCAGAGAAATGGGAGCGAAACTAAACCAAAATTTCACACAAGTTATTGAAATTAAGTAAAAAACTGGGTGTGGTTTTCATTACGAAGAGGAGGTAAAGTAAACTGAATATAGGAAGGAGATGCTAGTAAATTTTGAGAGGAAATGCTTGTAAAGTGCAGGGTTTATTTCTAGGATGGAATTGACTCTGCTAGAAGTAGTCTTCAATTTTGTTCTCTATGTGAAGAAAGATGAGACTCAAAAAGTAGGGAGCCTTCTGATTTATCAAAAGAAAGGTCAGATGATTTATATAAAGATAGTTAATTAACACAGACTTATAAGTTCACCTATAGTTGAACAATTCTATGTCCTACAATAAATATATACAACAGATAAAATAAATAATCCAGTTTATAAGTTTTATAGTTAAAACCTGATATTCTTAGTAGATCAATTAGAAATTTTATAGTAACTAGTTGAATATCTCAATGAATTCAGTTGAGCCCATTCTCAATATATACTGAAAATATATACATACAAATATATGTACACATACATATATACATAGAGACAAATGCTAATATAATCTTTTCTCTCTATGACCAGTCTTCTAAAACAGTTCTTTGTTTACTGTATTCCTATGGCCTCTGGAATATAAATATTCTCTGTCTCTTCATTAATTTACCAAGAAGAAAAAATTAGCACAGTTTTTTTTTTTTATCCTCACCCGAGGACATTTTTGCATTTATCTTCAGATAGAGAGGGAGGGAGAGAGAGGAAAAGAGAAAGAGAAACATCTATGTGACAGAGACACATGGAGTGGTTGCCACTCACATGACCCCAACCGGGGCTGGGAACAAACTGCAACCAAAGTATGTGCCCTTAGCGGGAACCGAACCTGGGACTCTCTGGTCTGTGGGCCGGCACTCTGTAACCGCTGAGCCAAACTGGCCAGGGCGATGCAGTTTTTTTTGGAGGAACTAAAGACCTGGTTCCCTTCTTCCATGACTTCTCGAGAAGTATTTAATATTTACGCAAGGATAGAAACAAGGTTTATGTTTATGAGTTTTATTTGGACAATAATAGAGATGCAGGTTAGTTGCTATAAAGCATATTACTTACATTCCACTCGAAGGCCCCAATAGCAATCCCTGACGCTGCTCCTGTTCCAGCCAGGTTCATGAAGTTGGCAGTGCCAGTACTTGAGGAAAAAAGAGAAGTACCTATCTGATAATCAAAAGACAATTCCATATCAACACTGTTAGTCCAAGTCCAAAAATTAATTTCACAAATGTAAACTCAAACTGAATTTTACATTTTTCTTTTTTTTTTTTAATCCTCACCTGAGGATATTTTTACATTTATCTTCAGACAGAGTGGGAGGGAGGGAGAGAGAGAGAGAAACATTGATGAGAGAGAGACATATTGATTGGCTGCCACCTGCACGACCCCAACCGGGGCTGGGGACAAACCACAACCGAGGTACATGCCCTTGGCTGGAATCCAACCCAGGACTCTTTAGTCCACAGGCAGACGCTCTAACCACTGAGCAAAACCAGCCATGGCGAATTTTACATTTTTAAAAAGGAATAATTTCCTGGGCATAATTCTCATTTGTGTGTCATCTATACAAACCCTAATCATGAATTAGAAGCCAAGTGCAGAGGGAGACATGAGAAAGGTAGAACAGCCATTCTTATGTTGCTAGCCTCCCCATGCTCCACTGACTTACATGCAACTCACCAATCAACCATATTAGCAGGAGTGTGATTCTATCAGTATTTAAAAATGATTTTGAAATATTAACAATTTAATTGATTATCTATAAGGGACTATTTAAAATACATGAAAAATAAGAATACAGGAACTCTATTAAGTCACAGAATTAAGCTAAACAATATTTATAATATAATCTCATTAAAATTTTATGTGTGTATATGACACTTGTGCACATACATGTTTATATATGCATGGGAGAGATTTGCATATATATACATACTTCTGAGGACTGGAATTATGGATGTAGAGATGGCATGGGGAGAAAAAACTATAACTTAAAAAAATTTTTTTGCAACCAACATCTGTTACTTTCAAAATAAAAAATCCCATTTAAAATCAACAAAATCCCTTCTAAACCAATAATAGCTTTTATTTTAGTTTTTTAATCCTCACCCGAGAATATTTTTCCATTGATTTTCAGAGAGAGTGGGAGGGAGGGAGGGAGGGAGGGAGGGAGAGAGAGAGAGAGAGACATCAGTGTGAGAGAGATACATGGATTGGTTGCCTCCCACCGGACCCCACACAGGGCCAGGGGTCAAATCGCAACCGAGGTTTGTGCCCTTGATCTGAATTGAATGCGTGACTCTTTGGTCCATGGACTGAGGCTCTTACCGCTCAGCCAAACTGGCCAAGGCATATTTTATTTTATTTCATTTTTTAAAATTACCTTTACTTTTGAGAATATTACTGGTGTCCCCCCCCAACTTCCCCCATTGACCCCTTCTACATTGCTCCTACCCCCCACCAGGTGCATTCATTGAACTATTTGTCTGTGTCCATTGGTTATGCATATAAGTTCTTTGGTCAACTTCCCCCTCCTGCCCCCCCGCCCAATAACAGCTTTTTAACTGAGTGCAGATAGTCACTCCATTAAAACAAAAATCCAACTATTATGCTGTTGACATGAGACACATTTAAAACTAAATTATCAAGAGAGGCTTTAAATAACAAAGCCTTTTAGTAAAAGCAAACAAATAAAAACAGCACCGACAACATTAACATAAGATAAAATAGCATATAATACAAAAAGCATTAAACAAGACAAAGAGGTTTGTTGTTATAACTATGAAAAATGAAATGCACTAATAAGACATAATTGAGAAGGTACAGGAACCAAACATTTTAGCAACAACTAATATAAAGCAAAATAATCTTAAAAGAGGCACGTAATAAGTACTCAAGTAATGGTAGTTATTTTTACTATTAGAAATGTTCACTACAGTTATTATAATACTACAAAATTATATACAGCCTAAATTGCCCAATAATATGATAAATAAAAGGTGGAATGTTCATATGATATAATACTATGCAAATGCATATAAATACAAGGTAGGGCAAAAGCAGTTTTACAGTTGTTCATATGAAAAATAATACAATAATTAATAAATAATAATACAAGAATAAATTCTGTGTTTCACATACTCACAACTGTAAACTTACTTTTGCCTTATCCTATCTAAAGTATCTGTATCTACCTATGTATGTTTAGTTAGACCCAGGAAGATATTAATACATTATTAAATTAAAGGTGGGTTAAAAAGTCACCATTCATTAATTCAGTAACTATTATAAATGTCCCTTGCCATCTATGTGCCAGGCACTGTTCTAGGAATAAATTAATTAGTAAAATAGAAAAAAATTCTTGACCTCATGAAGATAACATTCTTTTGGGAAGAAGAGAATAAACAAAATAAATTAGGGGGTTATTTTCTAGCATGGCAACAAGCAATTGGGCGGTCGGGGTAGACTGTGGGAGGAGATCTGAGGGACACCAGAAGAGGTGAGGGAGAAGCCATGAGCTATATGGGGAGAAGCCAGGAGGAAGCAGCAAAGGGGCAAAGGCAGGAGCCCTGGCTGGAACTGGTAACAGGGGTCCTGAGAGGCAAGGTAGGAGAGGTAAGGAAGTGCAGATCATCTGTGGCCTAACTCGAGGTATTCGAGCTATTCTAAACAGCTGGGCTTTCATGCCGGGTGTCAGGGGAGCCCCCAGAGGATTTTAAGCATAAAAGCGACATGGTCTGACGCAAGTTTTAACTGGCTCCCTGCTTTGTTGAGACTGGCTATAGAAGAGCTAAGGTGGGAGCCCAGAAAAGAGGCTGTTACAATGAACCCAGGGAAGAGACAATGGCAGCATGGACCTGGAGGCAGAGCTGATGAGAAGTGGGCAGATTTCAAATATGTATTTTTTCCTGATGGATTGGATGTTGAGTGTGAGAGAGAATAAAGTCTAATATGACTCCATGTTGTCAACCTATGCCCTAGAGGGATGGGGTTGCTCTTCAGGAGACAGGAAACATGGTCGGAGAAGCAGATTTGTAGAGAAAAGTCCAGAGTTCCTTTTGGACTTGTTCAGTTTGAGATACCTGACAGACCTCCCAGGTGCAGGTATCACACAGGCAGCTGGACACACAAGTCTGAAGTTCAAGGGAGACATCTGGGATGTGTTAGCATGTAATTGGTATTTAATGCCATAAGACTGGAGGAGGTTGCCACATGTGTGAGTGTAACTGGAGAGGAGAGATCAGGCGCTGGAGAACTCCAACATTAAGAAGCCAAGGAGGTCCGGCTGGTGTGGCTCAGTGGTTGAGCGTTGACACATGTACAAGGAGGTTGCGGGTTCAATTCCCAGTTGGGACACATGCCCAGGTTGTGGGCCTGATCCCTGTGGGGGGCATGCAGGAGGCGGCCAGTTGATGTTCTCTCTTATCGATGCTTCTATCTTTCTCTCCCTCTCACTTTCTCTCTCTGTAAAATAAAGGAAAAAAAAAAAAAAGAAGCCAAGGAGATGGGAGAGAAGCAGACAAGGGGCAGAACGATGGCTGGTGGAGCAGCAGGAAAGGAGCAGAGCCGCGGTGGGAAGCAGGACTGAAGAGTTCCAGAGTTTCAGCACTGCCAGGCCAGGTAAAAGGAGGACTGGGAACTGACTGTAAGAACAAGCCGTGTACAATTAAAAATTTTTTTTCTTTATTGATTTTAGATAGAGGAAGGAAGAGAGAGATAGAAACATTGATAAGAGAGAACATGAACTGGCCTCCACCTGCATGCCCCCCACTGGGGATTTGGCCCACAACCTGGGCATGTGCCCTGACTGGGAATTGAACTGGCGACCTCTTGGTGCATGGGTCGATGCTCAACCACTGAGCCACACCAGCTAGGCAAGCCATGTACAATTATAAAAGGAAGGAAAGAGGTAAGACAGGAAGGGAGGAATAGAAAAAAATAAGCCCTGTGGAGGACCCTGACAAGAGCAATGGTATCTATCAAATATCTGATTATTGAATAAAAATATAAAAGAAATTTGGAATGGGAAAATTATTCTTTCATTTTAATTTCCTTTAATAATACCACAATATATTTTGTTAAGCAATAATCCTAATAATGAAAAAAGAAGTAAAAAAATTAATAAATCATAACTTATGTATAAACAGTGGGAGGCCAAAGCATGCTAATGTTGTTTGAAAACCATTGCAAGTGCCACAGTTATACAAGATAACACCGGCAGCAGACGGCCATTTTTCTGGGTATAGAATATAGGACTTCAAGGCCTAAGAGTGACTCAGGGAAAAGACCGGGGACCTCACAGCTCAGAAAGAGATTGTGTTGCTAGAATCCTCTGCTGAAAAATAAACTAAGGTAGGAGGCCCACTGCAAAACTTCCTTTGCCATATTTAATTTCTTTCTAAATCAGGTTTACAGAAAAAAAGAAGATTCAGAAATTATTCAGAGCATTGTACCTCTGAATTACCTACTCCACCTTCAAATCCTGCTCAAACAACCCCAGCTCTGTCAGACCCTCCCAGTCTGGCGCCATGCACTACCTCTGCCCAGGAAGCCCGCGTTTACCTTTCATCCATAGCTGCCCGTGCACCTCCTATTAGACCTACTGTACTGCAATGCAGTGTAATTCATTGGATGCGTGTCTAATTCCCATTCTAGGTTGTGTGCTTCCAGAGGGCAGGGCTATTTCCTTGTACATATTAGTTTTATTGGGACATGAGAACTTCCCTAACCTGGTGAAGAAAACAGACACACAAGTAAGTGTAGGGAGTCCCAAACATGTTTCAGTAACCTAATACATGGTTACTGAACTAAAACTGGGTTAATGGAAATAGTTAGGTAACAAACTACTCAAGAGTTAAAGGAACTACCAATGACATGGCTTTCCTGATTTAAAAGCTTCAATTTATTTTGAATATAAGACATCTAAATTAAAGTAATAAACAAGTTAACATGTAGCCCCCAAAGTGCATTGCCACACTCACCAGCCACCATGCTAGATTTCGGCCAGCCAGGAAGAAGTCTTCTACAGTCCCGCGGCTGCTTGACAGTATCGCCTTAAGAAACAGAACAAACAAACAGAAAACAATGAAATACAAGAAATAAAACTGCTTCAAAGACACAAGTCTCTTATGGGGTAAATCACTTTAGCGAGATCCCAAATTCACTCCTTTCTTTTTAGGAATAGAAGCCCATACCCCCTGAGTTAGCAGAAGGCTCATGGCTGCCTAGTTGCAGACTATAGTCTCTTCCAAGCTCTGATATTGCATGGGAATGTCCATTTCTTTACACTCTTGTGAAAATAATATTGCTTTATTTTTTTCCCAACTAGTTAACTAGTGCCAAAGTTATGGCAGTATCGGAGATAAGTGGTTTAGTGAATGTATGGACCAAGCAGGAATGGCAAATCTGAACATGTGCCTGGCTTCTTCCAGGGGAGCAGTCATGCCACCATCACTATGGTGTCCTCTCTACTCAAGGTCCCCAGCTCTGATTCTCAGACCCTGGTGCAGTCAAAAGACAACACTGGGTGGGGATTTCCTGGATTGCTGAGGACTAGCACGACCTACGGATGACAGCTGACTGGCAGAAATGTATTTCTGTGGGAAGAATGAATTTATTATCATCATCTGAGGTACCTGCATTAAAATGGGGTCCCTCACAACATAAAGCCTTAAACCAAAGAAACAACTCTATATCAGACACATTAAGTCAGTCTCATTTCTACCATTTACTAAATATGTATCAAGGACCTACTATGTGCAGAACTGACCGAAATTCCTAAGGAAGGTATCAGTGGTATGTAGGTGGAGTACATTAAAACTTTTCAAAGGAATTTACAAAATGTTATAAGATGAATAAAATCATCTCCTCTTTCCATTAAAGGAAGAGCCAGACAAAGAAGAGGAGATCCTGGGAAGAAGGTGGCTTAAGCACATGTCTCTGCCTCTTCTCTTCCCTGCTCTTTCTGGAATAATACAAACACGGCAGCCCGGTTAGTGGGGTGGAAGATGCATCCAACGCCTTCTCAAATCTCTAGGCAGAGACTGATAAAAAAAGAAAACAAACAATCAAATGTATAAGTTATTCCCCTTTAGAGTTCTGGTCAAGATGGCAGAGAAGGTAAACGCTGTGCTCACCTCTTCCCATGACCACATCAAAATTACAACTAAATTATAGAACATTCGACCTGGAGAACCATCTGAAGCCTAGCTGAACAGAAGTCCTAGAACTAAGGATATTAAGAAAAAGCCACGCTGAAACTGATGGAAGGGACAGAAATGTGAAACAGGCTGGCCCCACACCCATCTGTGGCAGTTGAGAATTGAGGGATATATCTCAGCTGCGGAGGTAACTCCCGAGGAGCTAGGAGTCCCTGCCCCAGATGGGGCTCCTCAGCCCAGAGCACCAGTGCCAGAACATCTGGCTGTGGAAATCAGCAAGGGTTCTGTTTATCCGGGTGAGATAAAAGGCTGTTGGAAGCCCAGGGTCCTTGTAAAGGGCCAGACACGGACTCGCTTACTTGCAGGCACTCACCCTGGGCTCTGGCAAAGGAACAGTGGCTTGGGGGCACCAGAAACAAACAGGGAGAAACTGAGTTGTGTGGCTTTAGGGCAAGGGCTGGAGGGACAGCTGCCACTGTCCCTGTGTTGAGCCCTCTCCTCTTATGGCCAAATCTGAATCTGCATTAACAGGTGAAAACCACACGCCCCACCCTGGTGACTCTGAGAACCTGCCTCACCAAACTCGGGTACTGTCTAAGGATATATCAGTGGCTGAGCCTTATGAGCAGCTGGTAGGCAGTGGCTATAGACCTCAGGATGCCCTATGTCTTTGCCGAGAGGCCCCAGACCTGGTACTGGTGGCACCCAGCCTATGTTCACAGCATGACCTCTCCCATGTGCTTCCAGGACCAGCACAGGTAGTACCAACCACTGACTGCTTTGTAGGTTCTAACAGGTAGTGCCAGGCTGGTCACAGGCAGCAGCTGACCTTCATCTGCACTGGGGCCCCTCCCGAGGGGGGCCCAGAACCAGCACACCTTGTGGCCACCGCAGACCACAACAAAGCACCACCCAATTAGCTCTATAAGTGGCACATCCAAAGGATGGTCTTGGCAGGCCCAAGAGCTCATTGGGGTGAATTCTGCTCTGTGGGGTTGGTCAGCCCCCCAAATAGCAGTTCATACATTGTGTTTGTGGTCAATACTCACAGCCAGTCAGCCTGAGGGTCAACTCAACCCACTGATGTGCCAACAGCAATCAAGGTTAAGCCTCAACAGGAGGGCACACACAACCTACACAAGGAACACTCCTGGAATGCCTGGCTCAGGTGATCAGGGAGACTGCACCACTGGGCCCTACAGGACACCTATTACATACATTAAGCCCACCCTGTCAAGACTGGGAGACATAGCAGATCTACCTAATACATAAAGCCAAACAGAGAGAGGTAGGCCAGACAGAGAGAGGTAGCCAAAATGAGAAGACAAAGAAACATGTTCTAAATGAAAGAACAGGAGAAAATGCGAGAAGGAGAACTAAGCGAAATGAAGGCAAGTCATCTACCAGATAGAGTTCAAAATATAGGTTATAAGGATGCTCAAGGAACTTACTGAGAACTTTGACAAAGAGATAGTGAGCTTAAAAAAGGAGACAGAAATCATAAAAAGAACCAGTCAGAAATGAAGAAAACAATAACTGAAATGAAGAATACAGTAGAATGAATAAACAGCAGATTAGAAGAAGCAGTGGATTGAATCAGTGATTTGGAAGACAACGCAGCAGAAAAATAGTCAATTGGAACAACCAAAAAAAAAAAAAAAAAATGAGGATAGTTTAAAGGATCTCTGGGACAACATCAAGCATAACAACATTTGTATCATACAGCTACCAAAAGGAGAGGAGAATGAGCAAGGGATTGAGAACCTAAATGGCAGAAAATGTCCCTAACCTGGTAACCTGGTGAAGGAAATTGATATACAAATTCAGGAAGCACAGAGTCCCAAACAAGATGAACCCTAACAGGCCCACACCAAGACACATCATAATTAAAATGGCAAAGGTTAAAGACAGAGAGAGAATGTTAAAAGCAGCAAGAGAAAGGCAGTTAATTAACTACAAGGGAGCTCCAATAAGACTGTCAGCTGATTTTTTCAACAGAAACTTTGCAGGCCAGAAGAGACTGGCACAAAATATTCAAAATGATGAAAAGCAAGGACCTACAATCAAAACTACTTTACCCAGATAGGCTATCATTTAGAATTAAAGGAGAGATAAAGAGCTTCCCAGATAAGAAAAAGTGAAAGTAGTTCATTCCCACCAAAACAATATTATAAGAAAAGATAAAGGGACTTCTTTAAGAAGATGAAAGAAAAAAATAACAAAAATATAAATAAAATGGCAATAACTACCTATCAATAATCACTTTTACTGTAAATGGATTTAAATGCTCCAATCAAAAGACACATAGTAGCTGAATGGAAGAAAACAAGATGTGTACATATGCCATCTACAAGAGATCCATTTCAGATTTATAGACACACACCGACTCAAAGTAAAGGGATGGATAAAGTTATTTCATGCAAATGGAAACAAACAAAAAGCTGGGGTAGTGATACATATATCAGACATAATAGTCTTTAAAACAAAGGCTATAATAAGAGATAAAGAAGGATATTTCATAATGATAAATGAATCAATCCAACAAGAGTATATAATCTTTATATACATTTATGCACCCAACATAGGAGCACCTAAGTACATAAAACAAATAGTGATGAACATAAAGGGAGAGACTGGCAGTAATACAGTCATAGTAGGAGGTTTAATACCCCATTGTCATTAATAGATAGACCTACCAGAAGAAAATCAACAAGGAAACAGTGGCCTTACATGATAGACCAGATGGATTTGATTGATATTTTTAGAGAATTTGACCCCAGCAAAATATACATTATTTTCAATTGCACATAAAACATTTTCCAGCACATACCACTTTAAGCCACAAAACAAATCTTAATAAATTAAAAAAGATTAAAATCATATGAAGCACATTCTCCAACTACAATTGTATAAAACTAGAAATCAATTACAAGAAAAAAACAAACAAAAAACCTTTGAGATGACATGGAGGGACCTGGAGAATATTATCCTAAGTGAAACAAGCCAATCAGAAAAAGACAAATATCACATGATCTCACTTATTTGTGGAATATAATGAACAAAACAAACTGATGAACAAAATAGACCCAGAGACATAGAAGTAGGGTACAGACTGACAAACCTCAGAAGAGGGAGTGGGGGGTTGGGGGAGATAAACCATAGACCTTATATGCATGTATGCATAATCAATGGACATAGACAACAATGCTGGGGATGGGGCGGGGGTTGGAGGTGGGGAGTCAGGAGGAGGGTATCAATGGGGATGAAAGGAGAAACATCTGTAACAAAAATAAATTAATAAATTTTTTTTTTAAAAAGAAAGGAAATGCAGAGAATTTTATAACCCTCCTTTTATTTGGTAAAACAATGAGGAGGAAATCCATACATATTTACCTAGTTAAGAGAGCAGTGAGAAGGTGTGCAAGGATGGTTGTTAATTTTCTCAGAGTAGGGAAAGGGGTTTATTGGGGAGAAGGGAAGAGAGAGGAGGTTAAGTGAGATGGAGACAGAAGCAGGGTAGAGGAAGTAAGCAATAATGTATTCAATACTTCGTGATATACCGAGCACCTGTACAGAGTGGGCTGATGCTTTGCAAATAAAACTTTAAATTTCTGAAAACTAAAAACAAACAAACAAACCAAAAAACCCTGAAAAACACACGAACACATGGAGGCTAAATAACATGCTACTAAACAATAAATGGGTTAACAATGAGATCAAGGAAAAAATCAAAAGATACTTTGAGACAAATAAAAATGGGAATATAACAACCCAAAATTTATGGGACACAGTGAAAGTATCCTAAGAGGGAAATTCATAGCATTACAGGTCTACTTCAAGAAACAAGAAAAATCTCAAATAAATAATCTAACCTGTCCGGCCAGTATGGCTTAGTGGTTGAGCATTGACCCATGCACCAAGAGGTCACCAGTTTGATTCCCGGTCAGGACACATGCCCAGGTTATGGGACCAATCACCAGTGGGGGGCATGCAGGAGGAGGCCAATCAATGTTCTCTCTCATTGATGTTTCTATCTCTCTCTCCCTCTCACTTCCTCTCTCTCTAAAATCAATAAAGAAAAAAAAATCTAATCTTACAACTAACTAAAGGAACTAGAAAAAGAATAACAAAGCCCAAAGTGAGTAGAAGAAAGAAAATAATAAAGATAAGAGTGGAAATAAATGAAATAGACACTAAGAAAACAATACAAAAGATCAATAAAACCAAGAGTTGGTTCTTGGAAAAGATAAATAAAATTGTTAAACCTTTACCTAGTCTCATCATGAAAAAAGAGGACCCAAATTAATAAAATCAGAAATGAAAGAGGAGAAGTAACAACTGATACCACAGAAATACAAAGGATTATAAGAATGTACCACAAACAATTATATGCCAATAAACTGGACAATCTGGAAGAAATGGAGGAATTCCTAAAAACATAAACTCTTCCAAGACTGAAGCAAGAAGAGACAGAAAACCTGAACAGACTGATTACTATTAATGAAATAGAATTAGTAATTAAAAAAAACAACAAAAAAAAACAACTCCTAACAAAAACAGTCCTGGACTGGATGGTTTTATAGCTGAAATATTTTACCAAACATTCAAAGAAGAATTAACACCTATCCTACTCAAACTATTCCAAAAAATTTAAGAGGAGGGAAGCCTCCCAAGCTCACTTTATGAAGCTAGCATTACCTTGATTCCAAAACAGGACAAAGATATTACAAAAAAAAAAAAAAAAAAAAAATTATAGACCAATATCCTGCTGAACATAGATGCAAAAATCTTTAACAAAATATTAGCAAACTGATTCAGAAAAAGATTATACATAATGATCAAATGGGATTTATTCCTGGGATGCAAGGTTGATTCAATATTTGCAAATCAATTAACATGATATACCACACAAACAAAATAAAGGATAAAAAAATCATGTGATAATATAAACAGACACAGAAAAAACATTTCACAAAACCCAGCACCCGTTTATGATAAAAACTCTCAGCAAAGTGGGAACAGAGGAAACATACCTCAGCATAATAAAGTCCATATAGACAAACACACAGCTAAATCATATTCAACAGAGAGAAGCTAATAGTGTTTTCCTTAAGACCAGGAGCAAGACAAGTATGTCCATTCACACCACTTTTATTCAACATGGTATTGCAAGTCCTAGCCACAGCAATCAGACAAGAAAAAGAAATAAAATACACCCAAAATGGAAAGGATGAAGTAAAACTCATTATCTGTAGATGACATAATACTTTATATAGAGAACCCTACAGATTGCACCAAAAACCTATTGAACTGATAAATGAATTCAGTAAAGTAGCAAGATACAAAATTAATATTCATTAATAACATTTTTATACATCAATAACAAACTATTACAAAGGGAAATGAAGAAAACATCCCATTTAAATTGCATCAAAAAAGAAAATATCTAGAAATAAATGTAACTAAGGAGGTAAAAGACCTCTACTCAGGAAATGAAAAGCATTTGAAGAAGATAATATAAATGGAAGAATTTACCATGCTCATGGATAGCAAGAATTAACATTAAAATGTCCACACTACCCAAAGCAATCTATAGATTTAATGTAATTGCTGTAAAAATACCAATGATATATATATATTTTTTATCCTCACCTGAGGACATTCCTGCATTTGTCTTCAGATAGAGCGAGGAGGGAGAGAGGGAGGAAGCGAGAGAGAGAAACATCGATGTAGTAGAGACACATCAAGTGGCTGCCAACCACACGACCCCAACTGGGACCGGGGACAAACTGCAACCGAGGTACGTGCCCTTAGTGGGAACCAAACCTGGGACTCTCTGGTCAGTGGGCTGATGCTCTACCTGCTGAGCCAAACCACCCAGGGCACCAATGGCATTTTTTACAGAACTGGAATAAATAATTCTAAAATATATATGGAACCCAAAAGATCCCAAATTGGCACAGCAATCTTGAGAAAGAACAAAGTTGGAAGTATCACACTACCTGATGTAAAACTAAACTACCTTAAGACCCTGCTATTCTACTTCTTGGTATTATCTGAAGAAATCCAAAACACTAATTAAAAAGATATATGCATCCCTATGTTTATTGGAACACTAATTACAATAGCCAAGATACAGACGTAACTTAAGTGTATACTGATAGGCCGTTAGAGAAAGATGTGGTACATATATACAGTGGAATGTTACTCAGCCATGAAAAAGAATAGAATCTTACCATCTGCAACAAGGATGGACCTAGAGGGTATTATGCTAAGTGATATAAGTCAGACAAATACCATATTATTTACATGTGGAATTTAAAGAACAAAGTAAACAAACAAAACAGAAACAGGCTCACATATGGAGAAAAAACTGATGGTTGCCAGGTGGGAGGGGGTTGGAGGGCTGGGTGAAGAAGGTGAAGGGGTTAAGAAGTGCAACTTGGTAGTACAAATTGTAATAATTATGTAAGGTGGGTCCAGACTTATCAAAGGCATCACTTCGTGAATTAGATAAATGTCTAACCACTACGGTGGTACACCTGAAACTAATATAAAATGATACTGAATGTCAACTGTAATTGAAAAAGAAAAAACAAGTTTTTTACCCTTTAACATCATGTAAGAGCCAAGGTACCAGCAGCCAAGTCATCTACAACAAAGACTGATTTCTCAGTTTCCTGTGGGTACTCAGCCGACAGAAGCTGATGAATGCTTTCAGAAAGAGTCCCTTATGTGCCGATGTGGGCAATTCTGTTCACTGACAAAAGGGTGGTTGGTTTAATTACTGGAAGTAAATAAAGTTAGACTTCTCTCCATCACTTCAAGTATAAAAATAAATCCCAGATGTTTTAGAGATTTAAATATAAAAAAACTATAAAATATTAACCCTGGAGGGTTTAGCTCAGCGGTTAGAGCATCGGCCCATGGACTGAAAAGTCTTGGGTTTGATTCTGGTTAAGAGCATGTACCTCGGTTGTGGTTCTGTCCCCCGCCCTGGTCAGGGTTGTGTGGGAGGCAACAAGTTGATGTGTCTCTTTTGCAACAATGTGTTTCTCACCCTCTCTCTTTCCCTCCCACTTTGTCTGAAAATAAATGAAAAAATATCCTTAGGTGAGGATTTGGAAAACAACAACAAAAAACAATATAGGATTTATAAAAAGAACCAAAGGAAAGATAATAATATAAGGAAGAAAAAAGATCAAAGCATTCTGGATAACCATGCATATTTTATGGCTCCAATAAGAACAGAAAGAACAGAAGGTTTCCTTTGGAAGTGACCAGATGGCTTACTAGTACTCTGACCTTGGCCAGACCTAGGTGAGAGATGGACCAAGAAGAAACCTGGGGCTTCTTAATTCAGTAACAGAACCTGGGGAGAAGTTCCCCAAACAAGTACTGCTCAGAGACCCTGCCTAGGCCACCTAGAAGGATGTTTCTCATAACTGAAGCTAGTTTTAAAAAATTGTTTAAATGATCCGTAGAAACACCTCATATCTTTTTTGCATTTGGAATAAAGAGCCTGTATTTTCTCTTCTGGTACAAAATTATCTTACTAGGATGGAAACCATGTCTCCATTACTCTATCTTCCCACTAGCAGCATGATGACTCATTCTAATCCCTCAAAAGAGTGTCTAATGATGGTACTTTGAAGCACCGGATTCTGCACAGCAAGGTCCTGCTTGTGACCTGTTGAAGTGCCCAAGTTAAAGGTCACTTGTGCATGAAAGCTTCAGCTGGGTAGGGACCATCCCGAGTGACAGCTCTCCCACTAGTTAGTGAATGGTGGCATTGTGACCAGATGCTTTTGCTTGGTGAAGCAGGATAGGCAGAGGCCTCATGGTTAACGGCATATCGGTGGGACCACACCATGACATCAGCTCCAGCTTTCACACCAATCTGACCTTTCACGGAAACAAGGGCCAGCTCCCCCTTGGTCTGGCCCCGGGTAGCATGTTTAAGGACACCTTTTTGAATGCTTACATGCTAAGCTTTAGTGAGTAAATACATCAAAAGAGACACGGTTTCTACCTTATTAAGATAACTTGGTACTAGAAGAGAAAAGAATGGGTAGGATTCCTAAGTTAGATATGTGTGTGACCTTTAAGGTTTTGCGAGCAAGGCAAAAATGGTTATGCTCCGGAGTCAGATCAGGCAGCTTTAGGTTCGAATCCGAACTCCGTATTTCCTGGTCGTTACTTCCCCTCTTTGAACCCGTTTCCTCACCTGTGAAATGGGAGGAAATAGTGTGTTGTTCACATTCCAGTTGTGAAGATGTGACACTGACGACCTACTCACCAGTGGCTGTCATCACCCCCATCACCATGGTGCTCACGACTTTTTACTAAATACTGCTTAGGTTCCAGGCAGCCTACCAGAGGAATCTGGCCCGTGCGTGTGCTTGGGGTGGGGAGGGGAGGCGGGTGTGGCCAAGTACAGCTGCGCTGCTGAGGACTCGGGCTTACTCTTGGCTGGAGGGCGGAGGGTGACTCGGCGCACAGGCGGGGATGCTCCTGGTGCAGGTGGGGCGGGAGGTGAGCGGGGACCAGGTGACTGGCAGGGAGGGGTCAAACCCAGCCTGGTGTCCAGGCCCGGCCCTGCCCGCTGGGCCCCCACGTACCCACAGCCCGATGCTCAGGACCAACAGGAAGTAAAAAACCATCACCACGATGTCCACTGGATTGTTGACGGCGAACTCCACAGCGCTCCAGTTATTGGAGATGCTGTACCGCGAGTAGTCCATGCCGTGCTTCTGGGCCAGGGCTGGCTGTTCGCGGGCAGCAACGGCTCTGACTTCGGCTCCGCGGCCGCGGGGCAGCCTGGGATCGGCCGCGGGGCAGCCTGGGAGCTCCGGCGGCTCAGGGCCTGCGTGGCCCAGGCCTGGCCCAACAGCGAATAGCTCCTGCTTAGGGGTTGCTCCGTGCAGCGAGAAGACGAAAGCACTTCACGGCCAGTCCAGGCACAGCACCCTCCCTGTTGGTCACAGTGGCTTTATCCTGGGCTCCCAGCGGGCCAGGCCGGGGCTAGCGGGAGGATCAGTAACTGTTTCCAGGCATTAGGGGACCTTGGGACCTTGGGACCAAAGGAGAAAACAGGAATGCTGCTCCTGTCTTTATTGCCAAGTTTGATATTTTGTTCATTGTGGGTTTTTGGTATTAATTTAGTTTATGAAAATATTACATTAAAATCTTGTCTGTCTTGAGTCTCGAGTTTTTCGGTGCCTCCTTGAATTTTGCCCCAAGGACAGTGCCTCACTCTCCTACCCCAGTCATAGCCCCACTGGGCCAGCTGCTCGCAGAGGGTCTTAGCTTTTGGCAGTTTGGTTTTTATTGATGATGTGTGAATTTTCAGTCTAGGCCACGCAATTACTCTCGTTGGTGTGTTTCTCTGCTAACTTGTGTTTCTAGAAATCTTAGCCAATAATACTAATAACTTTAATAGCTAGTACTTTTATAGCTCTTGGTAGGTGCCAGACCTCTTTCTATGCACTTTGCATAGATTAACCCATTTGATTCTCGCAATGACCAATTAGTCTGAGTCTATGACCACAAGGGCAAGGAGGCTTGTCCTTGCAGCCAGTTAGCAGTCTATGGTCCCAGCCTCTTCAACAGAAGAATTCTATAGTCCTAGTTTAGTTCAGTGCTGTCCAGAAGAAATAAAATGTGAATCACATGTTATTTGATTTTTTCCAGCTTTATTGAGATATAATTGACCAATAAAAATTCTATATATTTAAGGTGTGCAACATGGTTTTGATATATGTGTATATTGTGAAAAATTACCGTAATCAAGCTAATTAACGTATTGATGACTGCAGTTACCAATGTGTGTGTGTGTTTGGTGAGAACACGTGAGATCTACTCTCTTAGCAAATATTAGGTATATAATATATTAACTCCAGTCAGCATGTTGTATATGAGGTCTCTAGAACTTATTCATCTTATAACTGAACTTATTAATATATAACATCTTATATATATATAATTTTGACCTAACATAGTTGGAACACTGTCATGATAAAAACAATTTTTTTTTCATGTTAAGCTGAAAATCTTCTTTGATAAATGCAAAAGGTTAAATATGTATACTCATAGATTTAGGTGTTCTTTGAGACAAAATGTATTCAAAATATCATTTGGGCAATGTCTTATATCACATGACTCAACTAAAGCTAAAGAAAGGTACTTGCCAATTTTCAAATTTTGAGTCTGTTTTTGATGTTGTTGGAAAGGCCTTGCATTCTGTGGGCAATTGTTTTGAGATTTAATAGAAATATCTTTCACTTTTTGTAAAATATCTTTTTGTAGCATTTCCTCATAATTTCTAACAAATTTCCGTAGCTGATTCTTTTTGTCATCTTTCCATCTAAATTTTTTTTTTTTTTTGTATGTGTGTGTGTGCAAGAATCCAAGCTGTTTTAGAGCTGGCCAAAGTACAAACTCAAATTCTGTTAAAAATCACTATAATTTTTTGACATTTATTTCTGATTTCACGCAACTGATTTTGAAATTTTTTTTTTACCACTGAGAGCAACTTTTAAGAAATCAAACTCACTCTATAGTTGTTGAAAAATTCTCTTAATATTGTTCAGTTAATTATCTTTAATTGTTTTATATACACAACAAATAGTTCTACCATAGCATTATACATAGACATTGTTCTTTAGATGAAGTGATTCTCTTTTAAAATTATTTTTTTCCTTTTATTGACTTTAGAGAGAGAGAGAAAGGGAGAGGGAGAGAGAGAGAGAGAAACATCAATGAGAAGAACATTGATTGGCTGTCTCCTGCATGTCCCCCACTAGGGATCAGGCCCACAACCTGGGCATGTGCCCTGACCGGGAATTGAACCAGTGACCTCTTGGTGCATGGGTCAACGCTCATCACTGAGCCACACCAGCTGGACAGATTCTTTTGTTGTTATGAAATGACCGCTTTTGTACCTAGCAATGTTCTTTGCTCTTAAATCTATTATTCTTCCTTCCCTCCATCCCTTCCTTCTTTTCTTCCTTCCTTCTTCCCCTCCTTCTCTTTTTCTCTGTTTAATTTCACCCATCTTCCCGCACCCCTCCCCTTTGACAAAGATCAGCTTTCTCTATATATCTATGGGTCTGTTTCTGTGTTGTTGTTTGTTATTTTTTTAAAGAGTCCACATATAAGTAAAATGATATGGTATTGGTCGTTCTTTGTCTCATTTCACTTATAATACCCTCTGGGTCCAACATGTTGACACAAATGGCAAGATTTCATTCTTTATGGCTGAGTAACGTTCCACTGTACATATGTACCACATCTTCCTTATCTAATGGTCTATCGATGGACACTTAGGTTGCTTCCATATCTTGACTATTGTGAGTAATGCTGCAATGAAAGTAGAGGTACATATATTTTTTGAATTAGTGTTTTTGTTTTCTTTGAACAAATACCCAGACGTGGAATTTCTGGGTTGCTCGGCAGCTCTGTTTTTAATTTTTTGAGGTATCTTCATTTGTTTTCCATAGTGGCTGTGAAATTTTTACATTTAAAGTGTATTTATCCCTGGCTGGGTAGCTCAGTTAGAATCGGTCAGGGCACATACAAAAATCAACCAATGAATGCATAAATAAGTGGAACAACAAATTGATATCTCTCTCTCTCCCTAAAAAATAAAAAATTAATTGAAACATCCTCGGGTGAGGATTAACAATAAATAAACAAATATATATTACATATGATTATAAAAATGTATAATTATTGAAACATCCTTGGGTGAGGATTAACAATAAATAAACAAAATATGTTTATATGTGACTATAAAAATGTATAGTTATAAGTATATAAATACACATATTAAAAAATAATTCCACCAGTTTCTTTGGGAGTGGGTGGAGCTCTCGCATTGCCTTCCCGGAAGTGGAATTCTCCACCTCCCAGTTGGTCTTTGAAACCGGGTGTGGATGCCCAGCTGGTTGCTTACATTAACTCTCACTACAGGAAGGCTTGAGGATAGATGCCCCAGTGATTCAAACTCCCTATCTACCCTTTTAATTACAAAAAAATTTTTGCTGGCCGAACACTAATTTGTGGAATAAAACTCTTGTTACCTTGAACTTTAATTTTCTGAGCCCTTTGAGGGCCGAGCACTCATATCCTAGCTAGCCCAGGATTGGATTCATCCTCTCCACCCCATCGCAGGGCAGTGTTGTTCGTGCCGGTCCTCTCCTAGCGATCGCGCCATCTGGTGGCAACGTTTATGTAGGACACCTAGAGCCTGGATTAAATTTAGTTGTCTCTGGCACCCTCCAGCGGTGAAACATCTCAGCCGGGCATTTTGCGATTGTTGGATCTTATTACCTTTGTGATGAAGTGATGTTTGACCCAGTGAATACGTTCGCCTTTTACAAGGCAGCAGATTTGGGGGCTTGTTAGCTGAGGGGCCAGAGCAATCCACCTAAATCTATGTCCACAGGCAGTTGACTGGCATTTCACCTGGCATGGGTCAGGTTTGGGCTCACCGGGAGGACATTCAAGGCATGTGCTTCCCCGTGTCTTTATTCCTCCCAGGTCAGGGTCCAGAGTTGTCTTCACGGGTTTGGACGCGTGCACCTACCTCAGCAGATATTTGTGGTAATTAGGAAGGACATAATGGAGGCAGTACAGTCCTCCTCCAGATTCGCTGGCCAGCAGTGAAAAGGTTGAGGAGAGAGGCTGGTTCGGAACTTTTTTATACCCAGACCTTCAAAGGACATAAAGTATACTTCTTCCTTCTTTGTTAAGGGTTCTTCCTATCTCAGGTCCTTTCCCCCTCATCTCACTTTAATAATTTAGTGCCAATTATTCCCACCAGACAATTTACTTCCAGCACAGAGGGTGTGAGTTGGGATTGATCTCATTGCAAACGTCCCACCACTCAGCCTGCTATTGGTTGTCAAGGAAAATGCCTGAGTTTGTGACTCCAAGGTTGAGAGGGCTATTGTCCATGTGATCGGTCAGAAGCTATGATTGTGTGCTTCTAAGATGCAGCCTGTGCTCCATTTGATTGGCTGCAGTCCAGGGGCTCTAGTTCCTTAGCTTACGTGTGAAGGATCATTTAGGAAAAAACAAAATCCAACCTCCTGGGTGGTAGTTTGTTTTGGAATGTTGGTTTTAATTCTTGCAGGTCAAACCTCCACCACCTTCCCACCGTCCATGTGATTTCCCATATGAAAAGCCCTATCACAGATTGAGGGATGCTTTCTTTTGAAAAAACATGACAGTGGGGGCCATCCTGTCTAAGGCTGTCCCTAAAGTCAGAAGTTCTGTACTCTAAGATGTCATTAAGGGTGTGTAAAGGTGACAGGGTGACTTCCCCATCCATGAAACTTGGAGACAGAAAAAATTTTGAATAGAGAGGGCTGTGGGTACAATCTCACTCTCCCCATCTGAAACCTTTGGGAGAGGCAAAGATGAAGGGAAATTGGTTTCCCAAGAGCTAAGTGTCGTGGTTTTGCTGTTAAGGGACTATGTTCTTCTCCTCACCCACCCTACCGCAGGTGGGGGTGTAGGGCTCTGAGGTCTGGGAGGCAAGGGCTACACATAAAATCAGAGGGAAGTCTGGGACCAAAGAAAATCCCTGGGGTACGGGGGCCAGATTCCAGATCCCAGGAGAAAAGACTCGTCATGAACAGATGATTCTGGGTATGCTCGCTGAGTGACTCTTGTCTAGGGGTGCGGGGTGACTGCTTCGGGTTGAGGTGCTATTCTGGTAATTCTCTGTCAGGGGGTA